ACCAAGCTCGCACGCTGGCGTAAAGTAGCATTTTAGTAATCTCTTCGTTTTTAATCTTAATCATAATTGTGCGAATTGCTATGAAGTGACCGTTCGTTGAGACCAGTTGAATTATCAATTTTCAGAATGTTCCATCCAATAGCCCAGTAGGTTTCGTGAAGAGCAGCCTTCAAGACTTCACAGTTTGAATAGACTGTTGGGTCATCACTGGTTACTAGGCTATCAGATGTTGTATTATAGGCTCTTATCCGATATTAAGAGGCAGAATAGCCAATTGGTAGCTAATTGGTCGCTACTCGAAATGTCGCCTCAAACGTCAACGTTCCCACTTCATATTTCCGATAGAAATCTAACTTTAAAAAATCCAAGTTAGCGACCTACCAACAAGAATTTCTCAGCGTATTAATATCCAGCAAGGTTAGCCCAACCGAAAATGGCGAATACTTATTCAATTACTTTAATGTCATTTTGTGCGTCATTAACTAGGAAGCAATGTGAAATGTCATATGAAACAATCTATATTTAAATTTTAAATGTTGATAAGTTGATCTATATAAATCAAAGATAAGCAGCACCCAAATTTTTTAATGTCACGTTTACTCTTGTCAAGCTAATTAGAACTAACTCTCAACACAATAATCTGAATCACAGCCCACTCGGCTACCCTGTCCCTCCGATAAAACTATAAAATTTTTCTACAAATAAATGATGATGAACTGAGTGGAAAATAAATTAAACATGTAATGAATATCATTTAAAGGAAAAGACCTGACTCTTTCTCTATAGAGTCATTTTGGGATAAAAATACAAGTAGGTCCCCAGCAGCCACTCGGATTTTTGATTATCATTATAACAGGTTTATTCCTGTCAAAGACAGAGAAATAGAAGGAAAAAAAGACAAAAAAAATTTTAAGAAAGAAGAAAAGAAAAAAAACTTATCCGATTCCTATTAAGAAATTATTAGCCTTTGACCACTCGTGTCTTAGGTACATTTTACGGATTCGTCGAGCGGATATCGCACATGATTGTATCCACCTTCGCTCAAATACCACCTGTATTAATAATGTTACAAAACATCGCCTTCGGTGGTTAGGGCACGTTCTCCGTCATCCACCACGAGAGTTGTCGCATATTTCGTTATTTGCTAAACCATGTGATAGATGGCGTCAAAAGTGAGGTGGGACCTGGACCGACACGGTCAGGAAAGATTTTTAACGTATAGGTACATCAGCAATATATGGACTTATACGATGGAAAAAGAAATGGCTTCTATTACTATTAGTGATGGCGTCGGACCGAGCAGCTTAGAAAGGTCTTATCTTTGTAGCCAGCGGAGTCTAACTAGTAATGATGAGGGCTGTTAGAAGGGCTGATGGAAGAAGAAATGAATATCAGTGGATGACGATGGTACTTGGTGTTCACCACAGGTGAATTTCCTTCTTCTAGTAAAATAACCAAACACACATACAAACATACACATACTACATACACATACACATACACAGACATACACAGAAACTGTACAGTGAAGAAAGCGAAGGCGAAGGCGAAACGCATTAACACTCGACAAATAAATCAATATTGTTCAATGATTTTTATTTTTATTTATTTTTATTGTTATTTTTGATTTATACAGATCAGTGGTTCTCAAAAAGGATTCTTAGGGGGTCCCCGTATGACCCTTAGGAGCTTCCACATGGTCAGTTGAAGTCAAAATTATTTTTATAGTGCTATAATGTAATTTATTTTGTTACAAATAAAATCTCTTACGTGATTTCCAGTAATTTTTAAAGGGTTCCTGAGAATAAAAAATTTGAGAACCGTTGCTATAAATAATTTTTATAGATTAGTTCATGAAATTTTCTTTATCGATTATCTCTGGTTCGAGGACTCTTACGGGATCCTCGAGACACCTTCATAATATCGAAGCTAGAATATAAATGGTGAGAGAGAATAATAGTCGCACATGGATAGAAATACATGATGGGATTGATTCTCTAACGCCATTATCATTTTGTCGTATTTAATAATAATTTTTATCAAAGGACAGTAATCGAATCCATCATAAAGTTAACAGCATAGATTATCATAGACATCAACAATCAACTTTGGTTTTTAGTATTTTCTTCTTATTTACTTATTGCTTTTTTTAGTAACTAGTGCTTACCATTTCCCGTTAGGCTCGCTTAGCAATAGATGTAGGTAGACACCATTCACCACCGAACCAAAGCAAACAAAGGAAGAAATGGGAAATGCATCTGCATTTCCGAAGCTACTGTTTCGATTGAATATTCGATAAGCCGTTCTTTCTATTGCGTAAGTGATAACAAATGTTAACTTGGTGATAAGCTAGTTTACCCATTGTTTAAATCTATTGCTATGAGAATACTTACTTTACACTCATAAAAATTATTGAAAACCGATGAAAATGCTTTTGTTTATGCGAATTACATCTATCAAAACGTTAAAATGTTCGTATCAAAGACAATTTTTGTGTAAATTTTCTAAAATTGGCTAAGGCCAGTTTTCATGTAAATTCACTAAAATTAGCGAAAGCCTAAGCTAAGTACGGCTTTTTTCGTTGGAAAATAACTCCTTAATATTATTATTAATATTATTATGAAACTAATGGTTTCAACCTCTTGAACCTTTTAAAAGAGCCTCGGGAGCCCTCAGAAGCGTCCTTCTACTATTCTTTCCGCTCAAAGTCTACGTTTATTCATTGAACTACATTTGCGTTAAATGTCATTTCATTCAATAATTTCATGTGGAAAAATTTTCTCATCAAAAAAATTTTTCTTCTTCCGATCTTTACTTGGCTGCAACTATTAATTTTATTATTATTATTATTATTATTATTAAATTATTGCAATTGCCACTGATTATCACTTTTTCGAATATTTTATTTGGACTCTAAACTCTAAATTAGAATATTTATATAAAATTTATATTTATTTATAACTTTATTTATTTCCATTCATACAATAATTCATCCAATAATTTTATAGTAAATTTAATTTTGTAATAATAAATTTTTCAAAAATATCATTTAATATTTTTACTGTTTTATTTTTATTTTTTCATTTAATTTGTTCGCTTTATTTCTTAATTTCTTACAAGCACGATTTTCTTTCAAAATTTTTGAGATACTTTCCACTTTAAAATTTTTCGGGAAAATTTAATGAGCATCGACAACTGTTCGATGGGATTTTCGTTTAAATCATAAAGCACAAGTAGCATATGATTATAAATATATTGCAATTACTGAAATTCGTTTAATAAATAATAGAACTGTTGAGGTGAGGTGGGATGTGGGGAGAGGGGGTGGGATGGGATGCGATTAGGTGGAGTGCGCTTGGACTGGGGGTGCGACTGGAGGGTGTGGGATTGAATGCGATGAGATCGGACGGAGTGAGACGAGGTTGAATGATGCAAAGAACGCGTATCTCGAAAAAATAGGCATTGCGAGAATGAACAAATGTTGATTACAACGTTTAATTAACATTTTCTTGTTTCCTTCGATTATTTTATTAACTTTACTTTCTTATTATATTATATTATTTTCTTAAATAATAAAATTAATAAAAATTTCTTATTTTTTATTAATAAATTTCTTATTTTCTTAAAATTTTAAATATAATTTTAATATTTATTTTTTTAAAATTTCATCTGTAATTTAATTTTTTCGTTTTTTTTTCGTTAATATTTTATTAATTTTCGAATTAAATTTTCAAAGAATTTACCATCATTCGTTACCAAATTTATTTTATTAATTTTTGTAGAAGATTTTAAAAAAATTTTAAAAATCCAACAAAAATTGCACCTTACAAAGGCCTAAGCCCAATATGGCCCCAGGGCAATAGCCAGTCAACCTGGCCAAAAACATTGTGTGCTATTTAAAGAAGAAGAATTGTTATAAAACAAAGTTGCTTCTAATTTTTTCACTCCTTTTTTGCCAATCAACTTTCCAAAACAATTTTTCTTCACTTTTTATGGTTCACTAATTGATTAATTTATTAACTTATTGATTTACTTACTAATTAATTTACTGCATTGCTGATTGGGAAATGAGTTTATTCAAATGAATAGAATGTGTGTGTGTGTTTATGTGTATATCATTTTACTAGAAGAGGATAGCTGTGCATTTCTTCTCTGAGACTGCTCAGCACGTTTTGTTAGGCTCGCTCCTCTCGCTTATCACCAGACAATGCTATTCGATGATAGGAGGAAAGAGAATCGCCAGTACGCCATAGATTTTTTAAAGACACATTTTCTTGCTAGTAATAGAATCTTTACAACGGTTAAGGCCAACAGTCCACTGATCCATTCTACCTTTATTAACAATAACCAAATTCCATTTTTCTTGAAGTCAATGAATTTTAAATAAATAAATTTTTAAAATACTTAATAATAGAATAAATAATGATAATTAATAATAGAATAATAGAATAACAATAAAATTATTATTATTTTAAGCATTAAATATAGTAAAAATAATGATTATTCGTTATCATTGTCATTAATTATTAAGAAAATTATCAATAATTATTAAATAATTTTTAACAAATCAACTTTAAATTTTTTTAGTCCATATATGCAAAATTGATATTATTTTTGCTATTAATATTTATTATTGCTATTATTTTTATCAATATCATTAATATTTTTGCATCAATGAAGTTTGAATGAATTTTTCAATGAATATAAATTTAATTTCTTTTTTTACAATTTTTCTAATTTTTTTCTTGACTTTATTTTGTTCATAATTTTTTTTGTTCATATTTTATTTTTGTTTTTTATTCATTATCAATGTTTCGCTCTAATGAATTATACTTTGAGAAATTTTTTATTTTTTAAATAATTTTTTACAGATTTGTATTTCTCGTAAATTCGTCCATATAGCATAAATAACAACGACAACAACGGGGACGCTTGTAAGAATAAATAAAGAATAAAAATCAAATTATTAAATTTTTGATAGTATTATGGGCGAAAGCAGAATGGAGAATGTTCGTTCGTTCTTCTTTCTTTTTTATTTCAAATGAATACTTTATTTTTTAACAAAGTAATTTTCAGAAAAAAATTTTCGCAAACCATTTTTTTCAAATAAAATTAAAAATAAAAACTGAAAAAATTTACTCTATTACAAATTTTAGGGTCATAATAATTCATCAAATTGTTTAATTTCAAATTCAAATTCACCAAATATTCAAAATGATTTAACAAATTCAAATCATAATCATGGTTCGTTATTTATCATTATTTCTTTGAATTTTGTTTTTTTGTTTTTTAAAGTTGAATTACAATAATTAAAAAATTTTAAATTTATCATATTTTATCAATTTTTAATATTTCATATCATTTTTCAATTATTCCATAAATGTTTAATTTACAAATTAAACATTTACAAATTTTTAAATATGCAGGAAAATGTCGTCGTTTGATTTATTTAAATAAATATTTTTTCATCATTTTTCATTTTTTAAAACGAGCAAAACGAGTTGTTAAATTAAATTAAATTTAGAAATTTCATTCAAATTTCGTTCATTCAAAATTTTGTTATATTAATGTCTTTTTTCTGCATATTTTTCACACCAATTTTTATTAGGCATCGCTGGCTTGTCGAGGTAAGTAGATTTTGCTAAGAATTCACCTGGCAATAGAAGTAGTGCTGAATTGCTAGTATAACCGAGGTTTTTGACAGACAGGTTTATTCCTGTTGAGAGTTGAATCTTAGCATCGATGTTCCGAAATCGGTGTTCTGAGAGCAACAATACGCTGAGCTATTTTTCGAAATACGCAACTATAAGGATCGCTTTAAATTTTTTAAAAAATTTAAATAAAATTTAAAGAAATTTTTTTCATTGAAAATAATCCGTGAATAATTCTAGGACGTTCGGTTGATAAGGCTCATCAGTATACGTTTGAATATTTAGCACAATTATTGAAAGATAAGAAACATTTCGAAGCATTTCCAAATGTTTTTCATCATGCTGAACGTTTAATTGAAGAAGGTTTGTTTCTGTATTTTTATTTTTAAATATTTTTTAACAAACTTTTTTTTAAAATGTTTTTTGTACGTGATTCATTCTTTTAGTATTCCAAAATGTATTTCAAATTTCTTCAATTTGATTATTATCGCTATAAAATTTTATATTTTTGTTACTATTATTATTATATTTTTCTTGCTTGTTTAAAGAAAACCAAATAAAAGAAAAATAAGCAAAAGAAATTTTCATCGTCAAATTTTCATTTCTATTCGATTTTAAATTTTTTAATTTTATTTTTACAGAGTTTTAAATTTTTTAAAATAAATTTTTAGCGAAAAAAACATTAAAATTTACTCAAATAATATATTTAATTTTTATATTAATGTTAATTTTTATATTGCCTTTTTTTATTTAGAAAAAAATAAAATAAAAGGAAAAATAAAGTGTATAAAATTAGCTTGCAAGCAGTTAATTAAAAGTAGTTTAGAAATCAGTAAGGTCCGAGTGTCGTTATTTCAATTTGAGTTTGCTAAGGATGCGACATTAAATTTACCTGAACCTGAGGGAGAAGTGGTCACAATGACTGAAAAAATTTTTGTGCCTGTTAAAGAACATCCTGATGTTAGTTAAACTTCTTCATTTGGATTATAATTTTAATTTTTTATATATTTTTTATATAGAATTATAGGTGAACAATTTGTCCTATACAACGGTTTCGACTGTTCCTTTATAATTTATAATTGCTATGATGGTTGCAGCGAAAAATACGAGTTGTGATGGTACAGATTCGCCTTGCCACTCATCTTATTTACATTTAAGCTGATTTATTTCAAATAAGAAATCTTGAGCAAACATCATTAATTTTCATTTTTTCCAAATAACCAGATTTCATCAGAAAAATTCACTAATTTCAACCAGTACTTTTGAAACATTCATCAGCAAGAGGGAGAAGAATAATAATATTCGACCTCGCAGAGCTTGAACTTGCATTCAAAACACAAGTTAAAGATTTAATTGGTTCTTAGATTATATTAGATCACATACATTTTTCCTCAGTGAGAGAAACAATTTGTTGCCTTCTTTTTTCTATGGTTTCAGAGTTAGGGTATAAAAAAAAATTTTTCATAGCTCGCTCGAACCAAACATTTTATGTATTGTCGATATCACTCATTTGAACCAGAAAGGTTTTAGACTGCTAGAAGTAATGAGCTGTCACAATATTATGGAATTTTTTTTTAAAGCAATTTTCATTCAAAATGCTATTAAAATGCTAATAGGAAAGAGTAAGAAATGGCAAGAAAAAATTAATCAGAATTCCAAATATGTGGAAAATATATTTCAGTATAATTTTGTTGGAAGGATTTTGGGTCCTCGTGGTATGACAGCTAAGCAGTTAGAACAAGAAACTGGTTGCAAGATAATGGTTCGTGGCAAAGGATCAATGCGAGATAAAGCTAAAGTAAAAGACAATTTTTTTTTCTTGAAAATTATCTTTAATTTATTCAAAATTTCAACAGCTGAAAAATAATAACTAATTTTTTAAAATGGAAATTTATGTTTTATATTTCAAGCAATTTTAATTCTTTAGGAAGAAATGAATAGAGGTAAACCGAATTGGGAACACTTATCTGAAGATTTGCATGTTCTTATACAATGCGAAGATACTAAGAATCGAGCAACAATAAAGCTGAAACGTACTGCTGCTGAAGTAAAAAAATTGCTGGTGCCGTCAGTAAGTGAAAAAATTTCTTATGCCTTCTCCTTAATTAAAATTAAAAAATAACTAATAATATCTGAATAACTAATAATATCGGTTTTTTTTCTAAATTCTTTTATTCATTATAGGAACAGATTAGGTATTCCGCAGAACCTTTAAACTTCTAGGCCACTATTAGAGGACCTATACCCATGTAAGGTGAGAAAGAGACTTTCTCATAAATAGTTATTAAATAGTACATAATAGGTAATAGGTTGATATGTATAGACAAAATCTGGCAGGTGAGATCTTTAAGGATTTAATATTGATACATCAAAACGAGTGTAATTAAGAAAAAAAAAGGGAAAAGGATAATCATTTTAAAGTAATGATCTTTTCTAGTCGGATGATGATGAACTAAAACGAAAGCAGCTGATGGAATTAGCTATAATCAATGGAACATATCGGTCAGGCAATATTACGCCATCTACTGCAGCTCAAGCAGCTGTTGTCGCTAACAAAAATTCTTTAGCTGCATTACAAGCTCGTTTGATGCCGCAGTTACCACTCTCTGCATCACAGGTCTTCTTCAGGCGATCCACAAGCAATTTTTAAAAAATTATTTTCAAAAGATTCAAAAACTTATAATCAAAATGATATTTTTCAAATATTCAAAGTAAATTTAATTTAATTGAATGGTATTTATATCATTTTTTATCATTTAAAACTTGTAATCATTTTAGACGAACAATCTTCGTTCACCAACTTTAGCTGGTGCTCCCATAATATTGTCACCGTCCCGTGGCGCCACCACTGCACCAACAGCTGCCACAGCAGCGGCAGCAGCTCTCGCTGCACAATTACAAGCTGTTGCTAATCAACAACAACAGAATGCAGCTGCCGCAGCTTTATCTCAACAAGCTGCTAATGGTCCAGCAGCAGCGGCTGCTGCAGCTGTAGCTGGTATACCTGCTCACCTTCTTCAACCACAGGCGCTTACTCAAACTGATTACAGTCAGCTTTATCTCAAGTTGGTCTAATTTCTTTCGCGTAAAATTTTAAGTTTGAGTTGAGAAAATGAGTCGAGAATAAATTCATTAAAAATTCATAAATAAACTAAATTAAATTAAAATTAATGCAATAATGATAAAAGTTTTTTTCTATGCAAAATTGGAAAATTTTGCAAAAATTACAATAATGATGGTTTAAGCTCATTACAATATGATCCAACAGCCGGGACATACGCTATTCCGGTGAGCGCGACACAGACGCTTCAAACTCAGCAGCAACAATATGCTGCTGCAGCAGCTGCAGCTATGCTTGGTGCATCTTATATTGGTGAATATCCAGCTATGGAGCTTTCAAATGCTGGTCAGTTGATTGTAAGACAGTAGTTAAGTATTAGGTAAATAGGCATACAAATGATTATTATGCTGTTTATTATTAAAGTTTCTTTAAAACTTGACATTAATACATAGTTTAAATAGCGTAGTTATTGATTTTTGGCTCGTGCAAAACTATTTTTCACTTGAAATTTTTTAAATTTTATTTTATATTTATTGAGTTTTTGTCATGCAAATAAGTTTAGCTAAATTTGTTCAGCAGGTTACTGCAGATTACTTCTTTATTCATTATTATCGCCCTTTTTTTAAAGTTTATATAATAAAAATGTTTTTATTTATTACTATTACTACTATTCATTACTATCATATCTGAAATCTTTCTTAGGAATTTTTCATACTTTTACCTATTGTGAATTTTGTTAATATTTTCATTATCATTCTTATCATCATTATCATCCTCAATTTTCATTCCAACTGGTTTGTCTTGATCTCATTCCAAATTTTTTGATCATTTTATATTTTTTGATCATTTTAAGAAAGTGATTCTAGCAATTCACCTATAATTTTATATTTATTTGTTTTAATTTTTTATTCAAAGTTATGATTATAATTTCTTTATTATAACCCCTCTTAAAAATGTTGAATTTCTGTAATATTCATATATTAATTCGTTAATTGATTCTATTATTGTTTTCTCATAGAATTGAAAGAACTAATGGAATTTTCTAAAAAATTTGAAAATTATTTGGATTAGAGACGTTAAAAAACCGTGAGAATTCAACTCAGTTTTATGAATTAAATAGAAATTCAATTAAATTAAATTTAAAACTCGAAAAAAAATCAAGAATTTGGTTTTTTTAGTGTTTTTTTGTTATTTTATTAAAATAAAATTATTTTATGACAGTAATTATTAATGCTATCAGAGAAATCATCAAATGAATTGGATTCTTATAAAAAATTTAAAATTTACAAATTTTAGCTGAAATTTTTTGCATTGCTTGAAGCATTTTAATTTTTCTCTCCATTTTTAATTGAATGAAATTATTTTTTTTCAAAAATTAAATAGAATTGGAGCTAACTTTTTTCTTGTCTTATTTTCTTCCATACAAATCATTATCATATCACTAAGAATAAGAGTAATGTTAAGAAAATTTTGCGGTTCTACTTCTGGCAAAAATTCATCTCTCAAGAAAGTGATTCTAGCAATTCACCTATAATTCTATCGCCAAGCGAATCTCGAACTGGCCTAGAGAAACGAGCCAAATGGTCAGTGAGCTCCTCTTAATGCAAGCATAATTTCTGTATTCGAGATTGTATTTTTGTTTGTAAATTTGTTAGATGTCTATATGGAAACTATTTTCTGGCAATATTCACCAATTAACCTTTTTTTCTTTTTTTTCATAAAATTTTCCAATTTTGGTGTTTGTCGCTGATTCGCATATAACACAATACACTTTCAAAATTTATGAAATTTATGAAAACGTATTTGTAATAGTAATATTTGCACGGCATCTATTATTTTTCATTAATAAGAATTATTTTCAAAAGATTTGAGGGCCTAAAAGAAATGCCTAAATGCCTTAAGATGTAAACCATTTGCTAAAAAAAATAAAATTCATCTAAATTCGTCCTTTTTGTGATCTCTTCTTTTCTCATTGAATTTATGCTGTCTACTACTAAAAATTATCTTTAGGCCTTTTCCTTTAATATTTTTTATGATAACTCTAATAATCAAAATAATAATAATATTAATAATAATAATGGTAATAATAATTATAGTAATATCAGTAACAATAATAACAATTTTAATGTTACTATTAATAATTATAATTCTTTCCTCAAATAAACAAATAATCTAAGCTTTTTTTTGAAGAACTTTTTTATAAATAATATAATTGAATAGAATTATACGAAACCACTAACCAACACCGCTAACCATTATATTTTAAAACGCTTTAGGCGCTATGTTATGCAATCAACGACGAGTTTTGGGCCAATCAAGAGATCATCCTTATATTCCAAAGAAATCGACGTCCTAAAACCATCGTATGTCTTTTTCCCACTTTATTATTTTTCGATAAGTTTCGGTTTCGGTTATTTGACAAGTTTATTTATGAGTCGATCATTGATATAATTTATTTTGAAATTAGTGCCTGAAATTTATGTTTCAGGTACCAATTTTAGAACAATTTTTTGTTTTTAATGATTGGTTTTTAGCATTTTTTCACCATAATCATTTTAACGATCTTTAAATGATAAAAATCTTTATCTTTCGATTATTCTAGAATATCTTATCAGATCTAAAAAAAAAACAATATTAATATAATATCTATGAATATTCATTTTGCATATAAATCAATCTATAATTATATAGATTGATATATATTTCTGTGGTTATTAAAAAACTAAATAAGTGGGATTATGGCCTTGAGGCTCTTTATAAAGATCGCTTAACTGGTTAAATAATGATGTGACTTAAATTTTAATCAAGAAAAGTTTCGGGTATTAAAGACCGAAGTAAGATATTATTAAGGGAAAAGTGATATAAACGACAGGGATTTACAGACCAAAAAAACGGAAAGATTTTAGTGACACATAAATTAAGGCACTGTAAATATGGTGAAAGTATGGTGCGGCAGCGGGATAGTGCAGCAGAAAAGGAAAGAGAAGGAGACTCATAAATGCTTAATGCTCGTTTAATACTCAACTGCATATAGCAGAAAGGTCCCGAAGCTCCCGAAATTTACACATTTAATAATTAAATACACCTTAGAAATTATGAATCTATCTATTCTTTGTCCTCCATCTTTTCAGTTATAATAAATTTATTTATTGCAGGAAAAAATGATTCCAGTTGTTCCACAAAGAGATTATTATTATTTTTCCTCTACTTATTGTCATAATTACTTAAAAATTATGTTTTTTATTTTCAATTATATTTCTTATTTTTAGTATTATTTTAGTAATTTAGTCTTTTATTTTGATTGAATTTTTTTGCTGAAAAGTTCTATGAGAAAAGAAAGGAATGGAATTTAGAATATTTAGGCTTCTTACACTTTTTTGATTCTAAATTTGCACTTTTTATTCGAAAGTCAATTAACGAGCAATCAACGAAAATATAAAATTGAGAGCATATTATGATAATGATGATAACGATAATCAAATAATGTTAATGACAATTAAATAAATCAAATAATGGAACTTTTCATGTATTAAAAAAAAATTTTTTTTTAAATTTTCAGATCTGGAAATATTTTTGCCCAGTTTGTAATTTTTAAACCTTTTTCTTTTTGTTTTTTTTTTTAGAAGTCTTAATGCATCTAATTGAGCTTATCTTATCTGATAAGGAGCTTATCAGATTTAGATATCAAAATATCGAGTGATTTTTTGGAAATTTTCTCTCTTTTTCGGTCTATATTTTTATCTTATATACTCTATTGTGATTATAATTCTTCTTCTAGGCCATTTCATTCATTTGGTTAATAACTGCTTTTCATTTCATCTTTAAAGTTGCTAACTGAGAACACAAATGATAATAATGATAATGATAACAATATCGTAGCATCTGTTTCGCAGGCATTTTTTTTTTCTTTTGAGGAAATAACCCGACTGCACACTAAAGCCGGTTGAATTGAATTGCACTTAGTATTGGTTCTTGTTTCCTTAATTTTTATTCTTCATCCTCAGTTTATCTCCGTAACTCATTCGTTTAATGACATTATTTTTAAGCTTATTACAATGAAACAGTATTCATAATTTAAACTTGAAATTACTGTTAATATGAAATTTATATGTTGAATGTCTATTGAAATAAATAGAGTTACGGATGATATAAAACTGTGGATTGATAACATGCAAATTATATAATTGCCTGTGATCATAATTACTTTTCTACTAACTGATTATCTATCACTTGAAGGAATTGTTTTACTTTTTCAGAGGTGCATTATTATGTTAACGTGTTAAATGTTTATCAGTTTCAGTTTATGATAATTTTAATTAATATTGGGTTTTTAAATTTCTAATTGTTAAAACTTGTTGAAAATGCCTTTATATAATAATTTTAAATGTTTAATGTGTGCCTATTTTGAAATGTTTGCTCATCGATGTGTTGCTTTTTTCCAACGAAAAGTAATGAAAAAGATTTTTTGCACTCCCTTTACTGTGCCTTCCTTTCGTTTAATTTTCTTATCTTATATGCCTTACAATAAAGAAATAATAAATAATTTATTGAAATTTTCTGAATAATTTTACCTTTATTGCATGCACACAACAACCAAACTCTTTAACTCATTAAGTGAATAAATTTCGAGTATCTGAAACGAGCGAAATTCCATTTTGAAGAATTTCTGTTAACCTTTTTGTTGCCAAAAGAAATATAATGCAATTAAATAATTTATGATGCTATCGCTTAAAAAAATTTTGCTTTTTTTGTCTATTTAGCAAATATTTGAATAACAATGGTTTTCGGCCATCAAATAATGGTTAACTGTTAATTAACGGTTAATTTAATTTATTTCGTTAAATATAAATGTCTTTAAAAAAGCAGAGAAAGATTTTATGAAACAACAAAAGATTTGCAAAGATGAATTACGATTCAAATGAATTCATTTTTATTCAAAATGATGACGAAGAAAATAGCGAAAAATAGCGAGAAACCGCGAAAAAAAGCCGTTGATCAAGTAATTGGATTACTTTTTAAAAATTGTTGAAATAGTCGTAAAGTGAATCAAAGAAGCAGAAGTATTTTGGATTAATCGTTTAATTATATATGATAGCGTTGCGATTATGAGAATAAAGGATAAATCTACAAATTTCAAATAAATTATTCAAACTGACTCAAATTCCCGTCGCCAACTACTGTTTCTAACCGTTTCTTTGACAGAAGATATTTGATGAATGCATCGCATCACTTAAGATGTACCTCAGCTGCGGTGGCTAGGATAACATTACTTCTAGGAGGGCACCTTTTCGCTGAAAGCCATAAAAAATACCAAAATCCAAGAATCATCAGAAATAAACGTGATAAAATAAAATTTTATCAAAATTTCACTGGAAAAACTGGTTAAAATTTTAGATAAACTAGGATTTTTCGACTTCAAAAAGAGATGCAGCTACGCACCAGATATGCAACATGATTTAAGCAAATAGCTCAAATATATATATATATATATAACTGAACAGTCCACCAGATAGCAATATTTTTGCTGCAAATATTGTCAAATATGTTTGAACCATCCTGATTAAAATGAATAAAATCCTGAGTAAAATTTTTAAATCCATCAACTGAACAGTTAATGAATTTTTTACAAACGCGACCAATTCATCATAAAATCCACAATTCACACACTATCAAAATGATCCCATGGTGTTGTGGTTGTTTTACGTTCTTTTCAGATTATTTTCGATATTCGTGAATCTTCATCAAAACATTAAATATCAAGCAAAACATTAAGAATTCTCATTAAGGAAAGTTGAAAATTGAAGTCCTGACTTTTTTTGGTGGAATTCGAAGATATATAGATATTTTTAGATATTCCAATTACTACTTCGGTAAATTTATACAAGAAATTGATCAAATTAATTTTAGCTGATAAAGAAAAAAAATTATCTGATTTTGAATCTTGCTTTTTTGAATTTTTGAGCAATTTTGTTTTTGAAATAGCGACTCTAATCATAAATCATGCTAAAAAAATTATAACATGAAAATCTTGACAAAATCTTTGAATACAGATAACTAAATTGAATATTTACAATGGTAATATAACAATGGTCTAAACGAATGAGCTGATAAATGTCGAATGATCTACGAATTTTATTATATTCCCCTTATAATTATAATAATAATATAGTATCATTTTTGACTGAATTAATTTTAAATATGCCTTCTGTAATTATACTTTAGAAAAATAAAGAAAAGAAACCTTTTTTTAGTATTAACTTAAAATTTAAAATTTTTTCTTCCAATAATTTCATGACGTTAAAGAATTATTCGAAAAAAACAACCAAATTCTACCTACGATTTTTTCAACTTCACTAACGTTTTTTCGATATACAATTGAATGTTAAGGGCAACAAAGTAAATTCCAAATAAATATACTGATATAAAGAGAGCCAAAATTAATTCAAAAATTGCAGGCTTGACACGATGAGCGACAAGTTGATCTTCTAATACACCGTATAATGAAACATCAAGTAATGAGACTGGTTCGACAGTAACATGACCCGAACTAAGCCTGAAGATGATTTCGAAAATTTTCGAAATATAAAATTTAAAAAACCACAAATACAATATATATATATATATATATATATATAAATAATATACCGAGCGACAGTATCCTTCAAACTTGCGATAATGTGATCATTATTGCCAGCGAGAGGCCTTGGTTCAGCTCCAAATAGTTTAATCCACTGCTGAACTCGTCCATTTCGATTATCTTTATTCAGAACAGAATACAATGAACCATTATTACTATTAGTACAGTTTGGATCCGGCAAAACAAGAAGATAGGCCAGCAGCGCTTCAGCTATACAATTAATATTTGCCTAAACGTTTTACAACCACATTAAAAAATAAAAATAAAAGCTTAATAATGTAATGCAATTCCATAAATTTAAAAAATGGAACAAAAAGATACTTCTAAAGCTTGGAAGTTAAGCTGTTTAGAAGAATCAAGTAAAGATGTTCTAATCGGATCGGTATGAGATTTTAGTCTGGATATGGTTAATGCTGGTAAGCGTCGTATTGAAAATCTAAAAAATAAAAGCTGAAATATAAAGATACAAAAAAAATTAAAAAAATTAAAAGTTAAAAAAATTAAACTTGCCAAGCAAATGACCAAGCAACTTAAGATATCAGCATTACTGATTAAGCTTACAAAATTTTCAAATTCCCAAATATTCTAAAATATAAAAAAATTTTAAAAAAATAGGAAAACAACTGAAAAAAACCTTTCGTGTTCCCACGATAAAACATCAGCGTTTAAATTAATCTTTTTTGATATGATAGATAATGTTCGTGATGATGATGTAAACATTTTCAGATATGTATATATTTTGCCGATTGATGATGAATCCGACGGCATTTTTGATACGTGCACTGTTAATCCATTATCGTTACCAATTGTATCCAAACATATCACCATTTCAATTGAATGGTCTAGAAAAAAAGAAAAATAAGATAAGATTTAAACAAAGGAAAAATAAGATTTAAACATACAATATTTATAAATTTAAATTAATTCATAAATTTTAAAAATGAAATATTCACAGAAAGTACTAAGACAATTTGAATCGGACTAAGAACACATCATTCAACACTCTGACACCAATTTTTTTTAGAAGAGCTTTTTTAACCACTGGATTTTTCCAAATTATATGATATATTTACCAGGTTGTTTTTCTATATTATCTTCAATCCACTGACGACTTCCCTGGTAATTGAATTTCCCTCCAGCTGATAATAAAAATACAATATTATATTTCGGCCTTGTAACAGTCTGCAAAAACAAATCATCCAAACATTACTCAAATTTTCAAATTCCAAAAAAAACAACCTTTCAGTAATGATTCCGAATGAATATAGCAATAAATAGAGGAACTAACAGATGCATAAAACTGCGAAAGAATAGCAAGAAGTTCCAGAAGAGCAGCAACTCCACTTCCATTCGAATCCGCACCTTGTGAGAGACTTGGAACGGCGGAATGGCTATCATAATGTGCAACCACAACAACTGTGGGAGAATTACGATCAGATGCCCATAATCGACCCTTTAATTCGATATGAAACAAGATTGGGAAAGCAGAATAACAAAATAACAATAACAAAAAAAAAATCGAAATAGATCAAGCCATATTTGGTTAATTTAATTTGCAAATAACCTTATTTTACCTTTTACAAAAAAAAATATTGTTGGTCAAGTGGAATGGTATGTTACCTTAGATCAAGCTATTACATACCGGTTCTTCACATTTCAGATGGTTTTAAGAATCCACCTACATTTTCATTCCAAAGCAATTTTGGTGAAGTGAATTTTGGTAAAGTGGCCATTTTCGCAATCATCGGAATTATCCAAATTGAAAGTTATTAGAAAAATAAGCAAAAGCTAATATGTAACCGATATCAATTAAAAAGTGCGGAAACACGACAAAAAAATCAAAAATTCAAAAAACTCACGACAATATTGGCTGCATTAGGAATAATGGCATTATTCGTCACCGATGAAGACGACAAAAATTGAAAAGTGCTTGCGGCTATAGAATTGAAAAGTTGTTGAGTAGCTGAAGAAACCCTAAATTGGATCGTTTTTTTTTCAACACATTACTTAAAGCTTCATTAATAAATAATGAGAGAATCAATACAAAAATTGATGCTTAATTCCAAGATTCGTTTAAAAATCCTTTTTACACTCTTTTAACATTTTCTCAAGAATACTCCTTTTAAAATATGAAGATTGGCAATATAAACCAACAAACTTCTGAGAGAAGACATTTACTTCATCCAGGAGAGCAATTATTTCTGCATTTCCATAGGTTAAATACACAGCCATATTCGTATTCAATGAATATAAATCGCGATCTAATTTTTCCAATGCCTGAAAATTGAAACTAAAAATAATGAACCTTAAATTAATGCGATATGACTATTTGACAATAGTTGATAATAAAAGAAAAAGACAGGAAGAATACCATGATACTATAAAAAATAAATTGCTAAATAAGATTAGTGGTAGTTTACTCTATATTATAACCAATTAACTACCTTGGTACCTTGATAACAATAATGTTGAAAAACAAACCAAGCGATTAGCAGAGGAAAGATCGTCAATATTATAGGGTAAAATAATTAATGCGCCACCAACTGCATGTCCCAGAACAGAATTCAAATCCACTGCCAACAAATCCTTCCAATCAACTATTAAACAACGCCTTAATGCATTGCTTTTTAATGATACAGCATCATACATTACTAAAAAATCAGAAATTATAATTAGGAACAATATATATGGCAATTATTTTTTTAAAAGAAATCCAAAATGTCATCAGACAACTAAAGGTTTCTAAAAAAAGAAGGGAAAAAAGACCAAAAACTGCGAAAACTAGATATGTCAATAAACACGTTTGGATTATGATATAGTTGTAATCGTATTAGAACAAAAGATAAATCCATCTCAAACTATAAAAAAATAAGAGAGGAAGAAAAAGATGGAAGAAAAAAAAAAATGATAGTCTCCATGAGGTGACAATGATCTCATAACCAATACCAATAACTAACCAATAACTAATCCCAAATGGTCCTTTACAATGCACGAAGAAAGAAAGAATGAAAAAACAAAAGAGGTAAAGATAATTATGTAGTATGTGTCTCATCGAATAATAATAGAATAAATATTTGTGAAAAATTTCACCTTTCCATGCTCGACTTCCACGTGAAATACTAATGAAATCGAACTGTTGAAGGCGATATGCCTTAATTTCCAGTTCAACTGTATTGGAAAATTGTAAACTACCACTAACCAAACACCAAGAAAGAAGCACCGAAATATAAATAAAGAAGAATGAGTTACGTAATGTCTCCAGAAAATCGTCTTGCATAATAAGAAAATGAACTGAAAATATTACCCAAAAAAATTTACACCGAAAATACAAAGCAGACATTTCACTACCAAATTGTTATATACAATTGTTCAAGCCCATTTTAACTGATGGCTCCCATAGTCAATTATTTAACAGTATGATTGCCTTGGAAAAAATACCAAAAGATAGCAGATAATAAATTTACTCAAAAAGGATGTATTTTTATAAAATACTTCCTCTAACACGCAACATAACTGGTGCTGAGATTTTTCTCCTCGCAGGAGTTCCTTGATGTTAAGGAGTTAAGCTGTCCAAAAATCCAGGTGACACTGACAGCTCACCTGCACTTCTGCCGCAAGAGGACTCCCTAACATCAAGGAACTCCAGTTGACCAGTGCGACAAGCCAACAAGTCTGACCAGTAATGGTGAGGACTCTTGGAAAAAAATACTTCTCTAACACGCACCATCACTGGTTATGCCGATTCTACTGGGTTCAAAAGTGAAACGCCAACTTCGAACTGCATTCCTTGTAAAATCGATAAGTTTTAATATCGTTTAAATACAAAAGATTTATCCCTACTGAGCGAGAATGAAAACATTTAATTATTATTAATTATTATTAAAACACGATTTTTTAAAAAGAGAAAAAAGATTTTTAATAATAAGCAATATAGATTTTTGAACTTTAAAATAAAACCGATTTAAAAAATACAAATAAAGCATGAAAAAAAGCCCAACTAGAAGATGCCCAAAGTACCCAATAACAATTATTAAATGACTTCGTCGAGCAACAGCCGCGACCGCAGCCGATTGTTAATATTCCTAATTTCTCAGTGCAGAAACCGACTCTTAGTCGTTTTAGTTAGGAGACGGAGATATTGGAATGTCAGAAAAGTTTTGGCATATAAATCGGCGGCTTGGGTAGTTTTTGACTTCAATTTTCAGTATTTTTTCAAACTTTTGGTAAAATTTGTTGTTGAGAAAGCGGAAGGTTATCGTTGTTCATTCTTAAGAGCACTCGTTACTCCTCACTTTTATTTGATTCGCTGGCACTGACTGATTGCCAGGAAGTGTTTGATGATAGAAGCGCCGATGAGTCGTCACCAGCATGCGGGTTTCTGAAAAAGCGCGGCGGGCTTGCAACGAACAGAGTTCTGGCAGCCGCCCTCAAATGTGGGAGCTATAGTTCGCCAAATCACTCTATTACAATAAAAAATAAATATATGGTTATATAATATAATATAATAACTGGAGGAGGAGTGGGAAGTAAAGGCAAAGTGATTTCAGTGATGATTGCAGCATTCGGAACTATGACCCCCTAAACTAGATAAGTAGCTTCAGCGGATTGCAGGGACAGCATCTCTGTCTTGAAGAGTGCACTATTAGGAAAACAGCTAAGAACCCAGGCTGCGGTAGAGGACCCGAGGTTGAGGACCACCACCCATAAGGGGTGAAGTTTAATATTAAAATATTATACGTTATAAAATGGCTGAAAAGAATTTTTCTTTTCCATTCCATTGGTTGATAATAATTATCATTTTGAGGATGATTTCACGGCGATCCCGTTGAAGATTCGCCAGAAGAAAGCGTTTCTAGCAACAGTTATCCATGCTGAAGTTCCATTTTCTGCGTGATCATTTTTAAAATACTTTTTAAATTAGCAAGGTCATTAGAATACATTTATGAGATATTTCTTCTTCTTTTAACAGCTCCCACCATTGCTGTTAGGCTACTCCAACGGCTACAAGGGTAAGACGCTTCCAAGCGGAACGGTCTGATGTTATCATCGACAGTAATGGAAGGCATTCCTTTTTCCATCGTCTTAGTCCATATATTGTTGGTCCACCTATACGTTCAAAATCTTTTCTGACCGTATAAGTCCAGGTCTTGATTGGCCCACCTCGCTTTTGACGCCATCCATCACGCCATCCGTCAGTGGGTTTAGTAAATAACGAAATATGCTTCAACTTTTGTAGCGGATAGCGGACGACGGTGGAACATGAGATATTTGAATTCCTACAATTCTTAAAGCGAAGAATTTATGGAAATCGAAAATGCATCTCATTGCTTATCGATATCGCTTTTCATTTTCGCCGTTTCCTGGTTAGATATTTTGTTGAATAGTTAAAAGTTTTTTTTGTTTACAGATGCCATTAATTAAACGTGCCATTTCACCAGTTAATGTTAGCCAACGAAGGCTTCCTGCATCAATACAGCACGATGAATTGGAATGTGTCTCAAATGGTACCTTAGCGAACTTAGTTCGACAATTAAGTAGCTTAAGCCGGCATGCCGAACATATATTCGGTGAAATTTATCATGAATCTATTAAACTTGATCATAAAACAAATACAATTGCTCAACGAATTGAAAGACTTGCACACAAAGTCACTCAACTTGACTGTAGTCATCAGCAAGGTTAGTTTTCTATAAGATCTTTTTATTTTGGTTAACAGTCTATAGAAATTAATAATTATGCTGGATTGTAAATGCATAAATTTAAATGTAAATGTGCATCTAGGGAAAAACCTAGTTGTTTTTTTCAGAATTTTCCAAGGCCTAAGCAAAGATCTTCCCATTCCCCATTAAATGCCATTATTTATCTCCAAAATCCGATTATTCCTCTTTGGAGCACTCTTCACGCGTAGAGTTCCACTTCACAATAATATCTCTTAGTCTCCGCAACTTTTCCGACTCCGCTCACCTTTCTAATTTCCTCGAAACATATATTGTGCTCCTTGATCGCTTCAGCTATATTCTCTTATTCCTCCATTGAGCTTCGTTCTAGCTCTTTGCCACATTCTGTTAGCATTCTAATATGGCCACAAGTCCACCTTGATATTTTTAAAAGTTATTCTCGATCTAAATTTGTTGGAACTTATTATAACCCACCACCTTTTCAAAATCTATTTATATTCTGTTTAATACTTTGTTAAATCAAACCTTGTTCTTTTTCTTTAAAAACCAATAAATAATAAATAATTTCCTTGAACTTCCTTATATTCCTTATATTCATTCCGCAGATCCTTTGTATTGTATTGTGTTAATTCTGTTGCGGCAGTATGACTTATTGTGATACCATTCTATCCTTGTTACAACCCAGCAATGCTCCTTTATAGCCAATAATGACGGCATATTCAAAAGACCTTTATGAGTCGAGCAGAGGAAAACCTATTTTTGAAAAAAAAGCCATAACAGAAGTCAGAAATGATCAAAATGTTTGTCATTGCTTCTCAGGGTCATAACATAAATTAGGTCCTAATATATTTGCCAAACAAATCAATGATCAAGAAATGATTTTTTGATATAAAAATAATTTTGCTATCAAACTGAACTTTACGATCTAATCGCAATTTTTATCTGACCAAAATATTAGGTGATGCCCGTAAACTATTTTGGAATTCTTTAATCTCTCAAAACCTTTCTTATTTTATAAAAATAACTATTACGAATGAAATTTTACCAGAGGATTGTATAAATCTCATTTTTCTTTGGTATAGTGTAGTGATCTGTTGTAGTTCAATTTCCATATTCGTTTTTCTCCTTTTTTTTTGCTCTTTATTCTGTCCTTTTCACTAAAATTTTCTTCATTCCTTATTTCTTCATTTTATCAGGGTTTTTTTGCTTAATTTTCATTCAGTTCAGTTTCATCGTTTTTTTTCATTTTATTTTTCGATTGATCGAGAAATTCGCAATGCAATGTTTGCATTCTCTTTTCACGAAAAAAATTTTTTTCGTGCAAAAATCGTCATTCTATTAATGGCAGTCCTGTAATTTCGTCCTTTCTTTTTGTAATAATAGCAAGTAAATTCACTAGGGACCTTTACAACCTGTTATTTAGATTAAAATTATTTGGTGCCGATAATGTAATTAGTAATCTTAATATGCCAAATGTAGATTGGGAAAATAGTTGCTTGAAAAATAGCAGCAAATTTGAAGAGGACTTTCTAAATCTTTGTATTAGCTACTTCTACTTCTTTTGTTGATAGCATTAGAGTCTTGGAACCTTTTCACAACATCATTCATGCTTCACTTCATTAAAGTTAGAGCGTTATGTACTTCCCTCGATTCTATATTCTAGAAATTACCGTCACTGTGATTATGAAATCTTTAATTATATCCCCGCAGAAATAAACTGGGATTTCTTATTCTATTTAATTCCCTCTATTGATGAAAAAGTTAACTTTCTTAATACCATCATTTTATACCTTATAGAGCAATATATCCCTCTAAGAAAAAAAAGCGTTAAGTCGATTCCCGTTTTTTAAAATCTCTTTAAAAAATGGTTCAAGAAGCTTTATAATAAATACAAATTAACCGAATTGCCAGGTGACCTCTCTTCATATAAAGAATGTTTAAGAAGTTTCCGTAGTGCAATTCATAATTACTTTTCAAATAAAGAGCTTTTATTACAAATATTAATAGAAATTTTTTCTGGGCCGAAATCAACAAAGAAAAATTTCGAAATCCACGTAAACAATTAATTCTGCAACATAGTGACACCTTTGATATTGATATTACAAGTATATTTAATCAATATTTTTTCTAATCATTATGTATTTGTTGAGGATAATACTGTATAGTACTCATAATACTCATAATACTCATATTTCTTGTTTTAATATAAATAGAATTTGTTGCACTTCTCTCGGTGAGGTTGAAATAACAATACTGGATGTTTATGATTCCTTAAATAGATTTAAGCCGTCCATTTCATCTGGCCTCAATAATATTCCACAAATAATTTATGAAAAATATGCAGTTTCACTGAGTCTTCCCCTATTTTCAATTCATAAGGACATTATAAAATCTGGCCTCAATCCCAAGATTTGGAAGTTGTGTCATATAATTCCCATTTATAGAAGCACTTATTACCTTTCTAATTATAGACCTATTAGCCTAGCATACGTTGGTAACAAGGTAACAAAGGAAAGGTTGATTTGCAAATTGTTTACTTATCTTGATACCAATAATTTTATATCCCCTTATCAGCATGGCTTTTGTACAAAAAAATCTTCACAAATATTGGCAAATCTTTCCGATTGGTCAGCATCAATTGATAATGGTAAATCAGTTGTGTACCTAGATTTGTCTAAAGCTTTTGATACTGTTTCCCATAGCAAATTATTGACTCTTAATAGTTATGGCATTACAGGGGCCCTTTATAACTGGGTATCAGATTACTTAAAAGACCGTCACCAAGCCTACTCGTCAACAACATTCTTTTTGACGCAAAACCTGTTAAATCTGGTTCCCCAAGGTAGTTAACATTGCGCCATTGCTTTTTCTATTATATATAAATGATATAACCAATATGATACTAAATTCTACTATTTATCTTTATGCTGATGATTGTAAAATTTGTTATTCTCATGGCAGATCAGATAGCCTATCTCCACTAAAAGATGACCTCAACAGAATAGCCAACCATCTATATAACAGGCAAATTACCCTTTCCTTTCAAAAATATAGCATTCTTCATATCAATTCTAAAGGTTTCTATTTTCTTAATTTTATTATTAATGGCAATATAATCAGTAGAGTTTCACAAATTTCACATTTCCGATCTTGGAATAATCATGGATGAAAATCTCGATTTCGATCTTCACTGCAGGGCCATGGTAAAGGAATCCTCAAATTTTACTAAATTTTATTTTTCGTTCGTTTAAGAACAAAACTGAAGATTTTCTTATCAAAATATATGCAAAGCGTTCACTTGGCTACTTCTTGACTACAATAAAATGTTAATAATGCTACAATACTCCCCGAGTTATCGTAAATCAAGTATAATAATTGAAGGACTCCAAAAATATTTTATACGGCGCATCTCTCCTAATTGCAATTTTAATTGTAAAAGAAAACTTTTACAGTATAACCTGGATTCTCTGTCAGTTCATCGTATTAAACAAGATTTATATTAATTTTATTAATTTATATTAATATTAATTTATACTTATACGATTCTGTATGGTTATGTTAAACTAGATTGTTCAAAATATTATAATTTTAGGTTAAATTTAAATCCAGCAAGAACTAATGGGCTAAAATTACTAAAACCTATGTGCAAAACAAAACTAAGGACTCACGATTTCTTTATTCGTAATATTAATTACTGGAATAAACTGCCGATTGATATAGCTTGCGCGCCATCCCTAACTATCTTTAAAAAAAGATTAGAAAATATCATTTATGACATTATTAAAAAGTTCACACCATGCAGGAAGTGTGAAATCTCGATTTTTACCGTCTGATTATAGTTATTTCGAATTGTAGTATTTGTAATTCCTCTTTATTTCATCTTTAAATTGTTAATTTTATTTTGTATTATTATTTCTGTTTTTGTCATTAATTCTTATTATTTTTTATTTTAACTGTTGTTATTAATAGAAACACATTCGTTTGCGCCCTGCTTGGCTGGTTTTCAATAAATAAATAATAGATGAAGAATAGATAATAATAAATAATAATAGAATGAAGACTTTTACTATAGGTATTTACGGGTGGTGAACGATGAATGATATTTTGAAATAATATTAAAATATTCCATTTTTAAGAATGAGATCCATTAATAGAATGGACTTTAACACAAGGCCTTTTCTTTTGCATTTCTTCTTTAATTGGTTGCGTGATTTTCATTATCCATTATATATTCTGCTTCTTCATTGTTCATCGTTGTCATTGCAATGATCATTTTTGCTAGCAGGCTTTGCGTTAGTTTTTTTATCTTTGCAAAAAATGTGACTGTGAAATTAACAAATGAAAACTGCAATGACATCGAGATCATTTATCATTTAATATTTATCTGTTTTTTATGATAATTTATTAACTTATTTTTTTTTAAAGCCATATAATAATAATAACAGTGTATAAAAATGTATATAAAAATTATCTTAAGATCCCGTTGCTTTTTTAGTTCTCTATTATTTATAATACTAATCGATATAATAGTAATGAAATTCGTTTTCAGTTTCATTAGAAGATTTGCACCTACGAAAGCCTTTCAAAAGTAACTATGTAATTGATCAGCATACGTTGGATCGTCAAACGCTGCCATCCGCTCTTTCTGATTGCTATAATTTATGTGATCCACCACCAAATTTGGATGCTTTGAATCCTTATAGAGATGATAAAAAGAGTGCTTTAAGGTGGGGACATTATTATTTTATAGCATAGTAATTATTATATATACTGGTATAAAATCGATATTTCTTTCCTAAGGTATTATACGGATCCTTCATATTTTTTCGATTTGTGGCGGCAAGAAATGTTAAAGGATGTTGGAGATGGGCGACGACAGCGTGCTATACGTTCGCAAACCGAAAACAAAAGCCCATCACGTAAAAAGAGGAATAAACAATCCACTAGCAATGAACATCTGATAAAAACGTCATCCCGGTAGTTTTTTTTAGAACATCTGCAAATGTTTTGTGTTTGCACAAAAGAAAAGCAACGAAAATAAGTTAAAAAAAAAGTATTAGAAAGCAATAATTTTAATGTAAAATATGGAATATATGTATGGAATATGGAATTAATTTTGGCAAATATTTTTTTTATCATCAAATAATTTTTCAAATAATTTAAGATTTTTATAATTTTTCTACATATATATGTCTTTTCATAATGTTTAAAGAATTTTTCATCTTTTTTTTCTTAAGTAAATTTCTGAAAATAATTATTTTCTTCAAGTTTTAAATTTTTGAGTGAATTTTGTTTCTTAATTTTGAAAAGGTGTTTGTTTGAAAAAAGCTTGACCATTCCTATTTTCTCAAAACGTTTAAAGGTATGTGATTGCGTCACAGCAACGTTGCTTGGACATAATGAATTTTCCTGCCGAGTACCAAGCTCCAAATATTGTAAGTAATGATCAAATGTATATTCCTGTTGGTATGAGTGTACCAGTTAGTATGAATGCGCATTCTGAAATGAATATTACTTCAAGAAATGGTGAAGTTCGAACATGCTCAACAATAGTGACAAGCACAAACTCTCATCTCGTTACTCAGGTTATTTCTTCTTTAATTTGGATTTGGCTTTCAAATTTTTCTAGCAGATGTAATTTGCTAGGTTCTTCTATTTTAATTCACAGAAATGAGTCACAAAGCAGGAAAAGTTTTACATTCTGTCGAAATTTTTTCTTCGTTACTGTATGGAAATATGATCGGAAATATGATTGTATAGAAATGTTTCAAGGAAATTAGAATCTTTGTAACGGACTTCCATCCATTTTTCTCATTTAAAGCCTCATATTAAGTTTCCCTTATTACTTTCGCTTAATGTTTCATTACTATTATGGATAATTGGTAATTTCTGAAATTTCAGTTAAAATGTCTCAGAAAGTCTTCTAATTGATAATTAAAAATTTCTTGATAGCAATTGATTCTTTTTTGTTTATTATTATATTATATTAATAAGGTCAGCATCGAGTTGGTTAAAAAGGATATGTAGACTTTTATGAAAGATCTAGCGTTAAGACATATGCCTAGTGTATTATAGTAAGAAAAAAGAGAGAAAAGCGCAGGTAACGCTTATTGTTAATGAAATTTTGGTTTAATTTAATTCTATTTCAGCAAGTAATTATTAAATTAAAAAATTGCCTAAAATTATGTGTGCTTGAGGGATTTTATGGGGCCAGGAGGAGATAAGGAGTAATAGAGATAAGAAATACTGAAATACTGAATTAAAGGGGTGCAAATGGTTGAGACCGTGGCTAAGACTGTAGGATTGTGGATCGCCTTTTGCGAATAACTAAATTTACTTTAATATTACTAATTTGACTTTTCTATATGTCTATTAATTTTTTTTTTCATAAGTTTTTATTTCTTAATTTAGGATGATGCAACTGCTGAAAATTCTCCAAACGCAGTCAGCAGTCAGATGGCTGGGCTCAATTTACAGGATGTGCCTATGCTCGATGATGATGACGATCTTCCTCCACCCCCTCCCCCTTTAATGCATACTTCTCTCGTTTGTCAGATGCCTAATCCACCTCTTATGCAGTTTGTTGCACCGTCAGAAAATAGAGTTGCAGTTCCACCTTCCCCACCGTTGCCTCCACCAGCTCCACCTGCTCCAGTCATCACTGTAGTTCATTCTTTCGCTAATACAAATGGTGAAGAAGTGAAGACCAAAACTGAAAAACCAATACAAGCACCAGATTCTCATTTAAATCTTCTGGCTGAAATTCAATCTGGAATTAAATTAAAACAAGTTTGTGCTACAATATGGCGTGATATTAGCATTTATTCAATACAAATTTAATTTTTCTATATTTTAGGTTCAAAGGAAAGAGCAAGCTGCAGAAGAGAAAGCGGCGGCTGAAGCAAATGATGTTGCAGCAATTTTACGACGACGTATGGAACATGTACTTGGTAATTCAGATACGGAAACTGAATCACCTTCGGACGATGATGAATGGGACTAACAGTTGAAATTCTGATCCCTCCTTCACTCTAAATATCCTGGACTTTATGGAAACATCTAATTCTTAAATAATTTAACAATTTGTGTACAAATAATTTGAAATAGTTCGAAAATTCCGTATTCAGTTGATTGATCAATTCGGTGCCTAATTCCGGTGCTTATTTACTTTCTAGGGTTTTTTTTTACCCGCTGAACATATATCTCATTTGTACTTTCTCATTTGTACATTCGTGCCACTCTGCCCATAATTCTATAATGAATTATTATGAAGTATACATGATTCTTTTGAAAATTTTAACTAAAATAATTAGCAGTTTATCCAGAAAAGCTGATTCTGGATTACCAGCGTATTTGCAAACGGAAGAATCAAAAGCTTGATTCTTGCAGCGGCTTTTGGCATGTAATTTTTCTGTGGCGCGAAAATATTTATATAGTTTAAAAGTTAATGCTAATTTTTACGAGCTTCTAGTTTAATTGTATTGTATGTTCTCTAAATATGGAATTAAAACAGTGGTTTTCGGTCTTTTAATGCTTTCGTTTGGAGAGCTGTTTTATTGGAGAGCAAGTAGGAATTGGAAGAGGCAAATAATATAACAAAAGATTGAGGGTTCGAAAATGATCTAAACTGTAAGATATGGTCGTGAAGACAGGAAACGGTTGCACAAATTAAATCAGCTTTAACTTTCTTAAAATCTGATAGGGTATTCGAAAAATCCTTTTTTCCTGAATTATTTTATGGTTAATCCATTTATTATTTTTATATATCGAACCAATTTTTTTTAAAATGGGAAATCGAATTTTCATGTTCTGCATTGCTTAAATTCGCGTGGTCGCCTTATAGCTTTGCCAGTTCCTGTTTTTTTTGGTTTTTCTCTACGATCTCCAAAAACATTCCGCGGTCTATTTTGAGAACCGCTGTTTTCAATAATTAAGATGAAATGTTTTTACTAGCGTCATATAGAGTTGCAATTTTATTGAACGTTGAACTATGGTACTGTGCTACCGTCGAAAGAAAATTATTTTGTTCTTACATATTCAGCTCGATTTGTGAAACACGCTTGTACTATTATGTTGTTCCATTACTTTGCAATGCTGTTGTGGGACTTCTTCGTATTCTTTCAGAACGGATGTTTTCTGTAAAAACATTAAATCAACAAAAAATAAGTTATAGTTTGACTGCACGAGATGTTTGAACGAGATGAAGCAATAGGGTTTTTTAGTTGCCAAATTTTAATTTCGTTGCTTTCTTCCTGTTGCCTTTGGTTGCATTGTAAAGCATTGTCTGTGGTTCGCTGGATACCGACTTTAATAAATTTTAACAATCGCTATGACGAACAAATCTTATCAATTTCTTTTTTTGTGATAATTGTAAGCGTTACATGAATGCTACCAACAAAACGGAAAACTGGTAGTTTCTATTTTAAATTGGATTTTGACTTTTTGGCTTTTTATTTGAGGTGAACTGGGAAGGAAGGTGAAAGGGTCAGTTATCAGTTTCTAAAATGTTTGAACATTTCATGTATCTAAGAAATCAAATTTAATTATAGATGAAGGATGATTAAGGAAATCATAGACGCATTAACGAATATCAAATTGGATATTATCAGGAAATGTGTGAGTAATTTAACAAAGGATAGCTCGATTTATTGCTCGCAGCGGGTTGATAATGTTAGTTGATAGCATTTTTTCCCCTTAAATTTTATCACTTAGCGTCGTTTCATCGTTATCAAAATCGTTTCATTATTATATTTTATCATTTAACTATTAGATCTTTCAAAAATTCCCATTGTTTATTTTGTAAAATTATGAGTTATGATATTTTATTATGCCTTATTATAACATTAAATTGTTATCATTAAATTGTAAAATCTGTAACAGGTTTTATTGAATATGAGATTTCCTTAGAAAATTGCTTAGAGATAGAGGGTAGAAAAATATAAAATATAGTCCTTCAAATTAAATTCTAACTCTAGTAATCAAACTCTAAAGATAAGTTTTCTATTTTTGGATGAATTTTATTTTACATCGCAAATTTTTATCTAAATGCAATGAAGAATTTTACTGAAGTTGAAGTTGAAACTATTCTTAGTTCTAGCACTTTACATCTAATTTTTACAGTTGTTTAATCATGTTGTATTCGGTGGAAAATATGAAAGAAGTCAATTGTTGATCTCAACATACAAAGCTTTAGATAGGGATGCTAGTTCTAAACGCATTTTGGAGGTAACGAAAGTCGCTGCTTGTTTAGAAATCTGTCAGGCTTTCCTCTTGACAATTGACGATATAATGGATGACAGTATTAAAAGACGCGGTAAGAACTGCTGGCATACGCTGGTTAGCTTTATTTTTGACTTTCCCTAACTGCTTGCCCTAGAAATAAAATTATCAACAAACATTTCTTGGTATATTTTCGTCGTAATCCATTGTATTTTTTCAATAACCTTTCAAACTCTGGTAGGCTGTTTTGCCACCTGCCATTTATATCCTTTCGAAATCTCCTGTTCTCTTGATTCCACTTTTAAATTATGGTTGTGGCAAAATGTAATGCAAAGATGGTGAATAGATTTAGTTTGGGAGGATTAAAACAAAATAATATCAGCTATAGAGATTGTGGTAAATAAATAGTTGGTATATTTGATATTGGATTTGAAGAGATTTTCCACTGGAATTGGTAAGCATTATGAAGAGATTTTAAGAAAAATTGATTTGTTGCACAAATAGAGTTTTTGGTGCCACGGTAGGCGCGATTAATAATAACTCGATGGAATGAATTTATTATAAATTTGAGGAAAATATTATCTGATTTTCAAATGAAAAACTGAGGCTTCACTTGGTATTAAAAAGGATTAGAAGGAATAAGTGCGGAGGACTATAATAAGTTTGAACTACAAGTCATATGGCTTTATTGTTGTTTAAGGAATAAGATAACATAATATGATTATTTTTTATTTCAGCCAAGTATTGGTTTAAATGCTTGCAATGATGCAATTTTGCTAGATTGTATTGTTCATGACGTGTTGAACGATGCTCTTGTCCAAGATTGCAATAAATATTCTGTTGTTCATGCCTTTGCTATGGTTAGTTGTTTTGATCTATAAAGCGATAAATAAATTCAGAAAATTATACGCAAATTATATAAAATATGTAAATTATGCTTGAATTTTCTTCATGCAAGAAATTTAGGTTAAAGATAGGATTTTCAGGATAATCTTTGAGCAATAAGTTTTATTGGGGGATAGGATGCCTTAATGAGTTGCTCAGTCTGGAGCGCCGATACTAAGCTTCCCTGCAGAAGTAAACTTGTCCAAAAATCCGGGTGATGCTTGCGACTCACCTGTATTTCTATCGCTAAGGCACTCTCTGGCATATTTGTCCAATGCGACAAGCCAGCGGAGCGAGTTTAACCAGTAATGGTGAAAACTTAAAAAAAAAGTAAGTTCTGTTAAATAAATAGCGTACAAGCTGCTTATCCTTTTACATTTTTTATTTTATTGAATAACATATTTTTACTTATGATTTTTTGATATATTTTTCCATTTTTCAGGAAATTAGGAAATTTCATTTTTTGCTTATTATTTCAGTTAAAACGAATAAGCGTTATTGGGCAAATGCTTGATGGGAGTATACGGCATCTTTCAGATTGTAGTTGGGAAAGGTGAAAACTTTTTAGAAATTTTATTTACCGTGAACCTTATATATATAATAGAATTACATTTCAGGTACCGCGACATTGTTAATAATAAAACAAGTTATTATTCTTTTTATTCACCTATAAAAATTGCATGTTTACTTGCTGATCAACCACTGGTTCCATCTCAGTGGAAATCGCTGGCTTTCAAAAGTGGATATTTATTTCAGGCACAGGTGACATCAAAACATATATCGTATATGAATGAAACAATTATTAATATTTATTTTACAGCTCGTAAATATGTTAATTGCGGGAAAAGGAAGAAAGCAAGTTAAGACACCCTTCTTTTTTGCCAAAGTTGTTCAAAAATCGAAATTTTATGAAAATTGATAGAAATAACAAATTTGCAAAAATAGGAAAAAGTTTTTTGAGTTAAAGACCTATTTTTATATCCAGTAGATTCCATACATTCCATACTTCGACATGCCGATATAATTTTAGGATGATTATATTGACTGCTTTGGTGAATCGATTATCACGGGGAAAATTGGCAGCGATCTTCGGGAAGGTAAATGTACATGGATCATTTGTAAAGCATTGGATCAAACAGTTAGCCGTCCTGATATTAGGCGGACTTTGACTGTATGTTGTGACTATATATTTTTTATCATTATTTTAAAACTAATCGCCATTATCAAAATTTTTTTATAGAAAGATTTTTTTGAAAGAATTATATTTTTCGTCCTTAGCAACTCTGATCTTTTATCACTTTTATCATATACCATAAACATTTACATCATTTACATTTACCATAAAGACTGGTTTATTTATCTTAATCCTAAATAAAACTTAAAATTTGCAGAAATTTATTGAAAATGCATATGGAAGCAAAAATACTATTCCTTATTTTCGCAAATTCATTGTTTCTATCACCGATTATCATAAAATTTCGATTTTAGGACAACTTTGGCAAAAAATCAGCGGAAAACGTCAATAAAGCGATGAATATTTTATCAGATTTACAAGTGAATGAATCTTTTCTCCAATTTGAAAGAGAATATCTTACGCAGCTTTTAACTGACATAGAAAAGCTACCTGATGCATCAATTAGACAAGTTTATCGAAAGTTAGCTGAAAAATTGCGAGGCCGAAGAAAATAAAATTTGGTGGATTATCGAAAAGGAAAATTTCTTAATTTCTTTACTATTTTTATAAGCTTTTTGCCTAATTTACTGTTGTAAAGAATCATTTAAGATACAAAACATCGCTATTATTTCTTCATTGCAACAAATCTTTACTTCGTTTTGATTTTTCTCTCATTTTATTGTTTATAATTTTATGAATATTTGAAAAAAAATTAATTTCCAAATTGAAACAAAATATTCTGTATATAAATACAAAATAAAATAAGATAAAAGGAAAATTAAAACGGATTCAAATGAAAAAAAGTAATGAAAACATATAAATTATCACAATTCGGATAACAACAAATAATATATCAAATCTCTCAGTTTAACTCTGAGTTATTTGGACATAACAGCTGGTTCAAAAAACTAAAACAAAAAATCATATCAAAATAAAAGCACCAAACGAAAATGAAAAAAACAAAGGTAACAAGAATAGAATATGTAAAATATATATATATGCTAGTAGAATTTAGTTTTTTCTTGCCTGTTCCTGAAAAATAAACAACTTAGAATATATTTATGAAAACCAGAGATATTATTTGAAGACTGGATCATATATATACGGTCTATTAAAATTAAAATAAATTGAAAGGTTCCTTTTTCACATGCGATTCAAAATATTGGAACCGAATAAAACCTCTATTTGTGATCCCTCGATTCTACTCGGATTTCGTGTGGAAGTGATTTAGCTTTAAGGTGATAAGGAAGTTGGAAGATTATTAATAAAAATAAAATAATGACTTACTTAAGCAAAAAAACACCGACTATAACCGCTATTTGTGCTACTGAAACGAATAAAAAAAGTGAAAGACTGATGCAATGAAAATTTGGGCAATTTGATACTGCTGCAAATCCACTCTAAATATAAGAATCATAAGAAAACCAAATTAAAATTTCAAATTTGGTGAGAAAAATCAACCCATATGGAAAGATCTATTCGCAGTGCTAAAAAATTTAATGAGGATGATGAATCAAGAGTAAACAAGAATTACAAATCTACAACTTATGATGGAATAATGAGCTACTAGAATTGGGCAAATTTTATTTGATTTCGATAATCAGAAGAATCTAATTTTTTTCAAATTGGCCTGTGACCTACAAGCAATAAAAAATAGATATTGAATGGCAAAATAAAAATTAATGAATGAAATTATTGAAAAAGTAATATGAAAATAATTGCAAAGTACCTGCGTAATTTGAGCGGATCTGATTTCCCGCACATCATTATGCATTGATTCAATAGAATGGTGTAGTGCAGAGCTATCTATATGCCCACCTGATGGTGGTCCTGGAATTGCTTTTCCACTAAGTTTTTGGTCGATATTATACGTTCGTGTAAATATTTCATTTACATAACTTTTCATATCTCTAATACTCGATGTTAGATCTCTTAAAGCCTAAATTAAGACACATAAAAATTTTTAAAGAATAAAAAAGGGACATAATATAAAAAAAGCTAAAAATTTTGCACCTGAAGGGCTTCGTTTTTTTCATGAGGCAGAAACCCGACTCCTCCAGCAATAACTTGACCAGCCGGCTGACCTCCAGGCGCTTGTCCTGCAGATGTTCCGCAAGTACTAAGCATAGATGTATGAGCACTTTGCTGTTGCCTGTGAAAAAAGACTAGACTAAAAAATTAAATTTTCATTTAAAAACTCAATCCTCAAAATATGTTTATTCTGAATACTTATTTATTAAATAGAAATTTAATTAAAAAATATTATAAAAAACATGACTGACGGCTGTTTAAACAAAAAATAACGATAAAAAAAGGTAAACTAAAAAGAACAAAAAATCACGCTATTTCTCTGAGTTTATTGTCCATTTGCTGCATAACTTGATAAATTGCGTTTTGCGATTCATAAAGAAGTCTAAGTTCACGTTGCGCTGTATCTTCATAATATTTTGCAACATCTTCTTCATCATCTTTCACTTTATCCGGATGTTGTTCTTTGAACCTGAAAGAAATAAAAAATTCATGAACCATGGATAAGCCATAAGGTGAATATTAAAAAATCATGATCATGCCTCTGCTTTTCCATTTCATATTCTTTCATTTGCTGTTCAAACTCTGCGTCGTATTGCTGTTTTATATCTTGAGGTAGAGCTCCTTTTTTTGGACGCTGTTCATCCGTAAATAATGAAAATACACTAAATTCGATAACATCATGATCGTCAGCTAATCCACCTGTAGCTGCTGATAAGCCTAAAATAAATTAAATTTAAAAAAGACATTGTACAAAAGAATATATTAAATATAATAATAACGAAATAAATCTACGACAAAAAACGAAAAATTATTATAGCACTTACCAAAATAACCCCCTTGAGGCAAAAATATATTTTCAGCCCTAATACACAATTCAAAACGAGCATTCGGCTGCAGTCCATCAGATATATACACAGTTAATACATGTAAAGAATATTCCACCTTTAAACGTACTGGATATGGCTTATTACGGAAATCTTTTTGGCAACCTAAAAAATTTTATCAAATATTTTAAAATAATAAAAATTTTATCAAATAATTTTTAAAAAAATAAAATTATTTTTTTAATAACCATAACAATCGCACAACTAAGTCTGCAAATGAAATAAAGAAAAAAAAAGAAAAGATTTTATAAAAAATTTCTAAACGAAAAAAACCTGAGAGAATTTGTTGAGATCCATCGCTTTGGTGATCATACTGTCGTGTTGCATCATTTAACATCACGGAAACAAAAGGATTATTTTTTTGGCCGTCATTATCAAATGAATCCAAGAATAAGCCCATTCCAGTCCAATAATCATTGGCACCGAAAACCTAAATTTTTTATTAGCCATAATTTTCCACTTCTATATACCAAGCAGCAATTAACCCAATATAAATATTGTGCAACCACAATTCATGCGTAAGTCTTCAAATGTTATTCTAAAAACTTAAAAACTTACAGGCCCAATTGTTCCAAGCTGAGATGTATACCATATTGCGAGACCATCTGCTCCAATCCTTCCTTGCCCACTAATTTTCAATGCAATTTCGATAACGAAATTCTCCGATTCAATCATAGGTCGTTTATTCCATGCAATACCTAAAACATTAAAAAAAATAAAAAAATAAAACAATCGTTTGATGCGTGGTGTTTGCGTTTGTGATGTCTATATGGAAATCATAAAAATCAATCCGAAAAATAATATTGTTAGAGAAGAATTCATTTTTGGACCACACACTCTTAAGCCGTCCAACGATATGTGGGTTAATTTAAATAGAAGGCCTAAATTAATTTCAGGTTTGGTCGGAACGTGTATAAACAGTATTCACGCCAGTGGTCAATACACCTAACTAAATCATAAATGATAAGTTTAAAACAAGAAAAAGACGATCGAATAATTTTTTGGGGATGAAAAATTAAATTTTTTATTGAATCTACGATATTCAAATATCGCCTAACACATAACAAATGGAAAATTTTAGGAAATTAACCAAACCTTTACGACTCCTCATTGATGGTGCCACTCGGAGTTGTTCATTCGATGCTATCGCATCACCGGCAATCGTCCAAAAGGGTATTGAGCCATCACGTTGAGCTAAATCAGGTGCTCGAAAACTATGTTTATATTCAAATCGTCGATGAACCGGCAATTGGCCAGCAATTTCATCGAAATGTGTAGCCAGTAAAATGAATAAAAATTCAATAATACAATCCATATCTGCAAAAAAAAAAAATAAACAGTCTGACAAATGGGAATATATTCACCAACTTTTTTATCCTTCACACGATTCACATTCGCAATTCTATAATGTCAATGGTGAAATTATCAGCGAGGGACCAACATGCACTTCATTTTCTACATGGCTCTCTGGCTGAAATCTCGCACTATTGCGTTTTTACTTATGACCAGCCTTGGGGCCGCATATTCCGGTTGTAATGTCACACTGGCTGACGTGTCATGTATCGCTATGCTCAACAACAATCTCTTCACAAAATAAACGACACAAAAGTGGTCAAAACTTTTCAGATGACTCTGTAACCTTCCGTTCAACCTGGCTGTCCCATGCTAACCGGAAATGGTGAAGAAAGGGAATTAGAGAATTTTAATAATTTATAATAGGCGACATGAAGAGTTGAGATGTTTGGCTGGAATAGCAACCAAAGTGTGCCAGGAAATTACCACGCAGAATATGGCCACCCAGTATATGGCCAAACCCCTAAAACCATGCAAAGAAACAAACTGAATAGGGGGACTGTACGCGCTGCAATAAAATCCGCTTTCATGTAAGAGATGAAGAAAATAGTAAAAATATAAAAAAAGAAAACAGAAAATTATTTTTGTTAGTCGAAATAATAAAAACCCCGCATCTCCAACACGACTGAACTTTCGCAAAATCAATTCGAAACCAGTTTTCGATAAAATAAAACGGCCGAAACACCCAAACGACTGAACAATAGAATATGATGCAACCCTTCTCGAAACTTTAGTAGCCAAAATTTTGTATGCTTCAGTTAGCCAGGGATAAGCACCGCAGGGATACAATGGACCACCAGCCGCCGCCTAAACAGCCAAATGATTATGAGAGAGATCACTATGGAGTTAAGTATCGCATTTCTGTTAAGAAAAATTTGAAGGCGATATGAGATTCACCTCTTTTCTTCTAAGCAACTGCACTGGTGAAATTATCACCCAAACTCACGCCACCACAACTGTCATAGTCAATGGAATTATGAGTTATTAGCGAAAGGCGACATGTCGTCGAAACATGAAAAGAAACAAACGTTGAAATCGCTACTTGAGCTGGTGGTCTACATCTATGCACCTCGAAGTGCCTCTATGCCTCAAATGTGCCTCACAGTGTCTCTTCCAACACCATAAAAGAAGATTATACATTGAAAATGTAAAAAATTTTTTATTGCTCTTTTTGTTTTTATTACTGTATTGTTTAACTTTACAGGAAGCTTAGGAGAAAACTTAGAGATAACAAGGTGTTCCTCACATATCATAAATCTATTATTTAGCATAATCTAAAGCCCAGTCGATAGCACCGAGTCGAATAGCTTGGAAACGCGCCTTACCTTGTGCCCAGAGAAGCCAGCCCAACCAGTAATGGTGAGAGCTTTTAGAAGGTCCATTCGACGATTTACCATACAAATCCAAGTTTGATCTTAATTTTATGCTATTTTTATTATAATTTGAGCTGGGTACTAAAATCAATATGATTTAAACATATATATTTAAAATATTGAAGCTAAACGCTTTCCAAGTAGCGATTAGGATAAATTACATATAATTAAGATTAAAAATTTTGTGTAACAAATCAATCTAAAGATATAATAATATTCTTTAGTATTACCCTATACATCATAAAGAACGTATGAAAATCAAAGAAATTGGAATATATGGGATATTAGGATATTAGAAGAAGAATTATTCATGTATTGCACGTCAGAGGGATATAACGAGGAACTGAGCAACTTCTCATGTACTGTTCTATAAAAAATATATGATATATAACATTCAAAATTGTCATCTGATTTTAAGATGCGACAAAATCTTTTCTTCAACTTTTATTTCCGTAAAAAACTTGTCGATACATAAGTAAATTTCTTTAATCGATATTATTATATAAGTTATTAAATATTAGATAAAAAAATAAATATCGTTATTATTAAATAAAAAAATAAGCGATAAAAATAAAATCAAAATAAAAACTCAAGGTGTCCTATACAAAATGATTTCCTTCGCTAAAGGACCAATTAATCGCGCATATTCTTCCATAAACGATTCAGTTTCTTTAAAATTTGGACGACGCAATAATGAACCATACGGAAGCACGACACTAAAATATTTGTTTTTACTGATACAAATTGGAAGTGATATCCTAAATCCAGTGAAAACTATAATCATCATAAATAAATCAGTTAATTATATTAATTTAGATTAATTACAAATAATAACGATATTTAGACACTAATTGATGCAAAAAAAATTAATTAATTAATTGTACATGTTTAAACACTATTACACTATTTCAATGAAAGAATTGAATGAAAAAGGAACTCGAAATGAAGCCTCATGAATTTTTTTAAAATTATGACATTAATTACTGGAATAAACTGGCAAATGATACAGTCAGCAAAATCACTAGCCTGCTTTAAAAGCAAATTAAAAAGAATTAAGAATTATGTTTAAAAAAGATAATCTCATTTTCAGTTTTTTCCTTTTATATCCTTTTATTGCTATCATGTACTAAATTTTCATATTCTTATTTCTTACTATTACCCTTTTTTTTTTGAATAAATAAATCCAACATTAAAAACGTACCATTCGTAGGAACAGAGCACAGATTTGACAGGAATTTGTTTAGGTGGAGATTTGTCTGGAGCAAAGACCACAAACTTTTTGCCAGATTGACGCAAACGTTCCACACATTTCTCTACAGGAACCCAAGTGAAACTATAGTCGCAGAGAAGATCCGATGGCCGAAACTGACTCTTATACTGCATTTTTGGGCACGAATCAATGTAGTATCCCATGTAATAATAATGGAGATCTGGACGATATTTTGACAGTTCCATAGTGAATAATATTTCTCTAAAGTAGCCAGACTTTTAATCGAGTGCAAAAGTTTAAAAAATGAAAATTAAGTAAATTATAGGCCGCAAAAACTTTCCCATAAAAATAAAAATTAGAACAAACCTTAATGCGGAATAAGTTCCTAGATTAAGAAAATCATAATCGGGATCATAAAATAAATATTTTGCAGAAAGACACCGAGGCAATATATCAATAGCAGCGACAGCAATTAATTGATCATCCAGAATGTATTGTTGGTGATATGATCCCAAAGCATATGTCTGCAACGTTTAAATACAAGCAAATAAATATGCTAAATTTCTTTGAAAATAATAAGAAAAACTAAATTTGATCTGAAATCTTAATCGAATAGAAATAAATGAATAACAGGTGGAATTATATTTTGTTTAGAAAAAATGATTACCCCCGATGGAGTTTCATCTTCACTACTAAAAAGCGGCGATTTTACGAGAAACCTTATAAAACCTTCCAAGGATCGATCTTCATCATGATGAACAATCGACTGGTACTTTTCAAATAATGAAAAACTTTCATTTAACATAGATTCAAATTCTTCCGAATTCACAGACACAAGTCTTATCTGAAAGTACAGCAGATCAATAAAGAAACTGTGAAGAAAAGACTGAACCTTATACTTATACTACTCTTCTACCGTTCTCGTATTCTTTTTCTCATTATTCTTTTCTTATTGCAGTAATCCAGGTGCAAGACCATTAGCGCTACTTGGCCTCTATTAAATAAATAAATACTAGCTGCGTGACTATGGATTCTTTTTTTTGATGAACAAAAAAGTGACTAAAAAGAAAACTCGGATGCTGACGAAGAACCATCTGTAGACAAGCAGCTAGTATTCCATCCTAATACAACTCTCCGGTAGAAGAATTCCATCTTATAACCTGCAGCACTCGCCAAGCGCTGGAAAAGCTAATTATTGTCACAAGAACTTTATTACTTTTTTTGAAATATTTATTAAAATTAAAATAATAAAAAAATTTTTTTAAGAAAAATTGAGAAAAAAGATATTATTTCAAGAGTACTGACTTCTAATCTGTGTTTGAAAGTCGTAGCTTCATTATCTAATACATATGAATGCAAAGTGCGACGTCTTGCAAACTCTTTTTCAATTCTTTTTTGTTGGAACTTAAATGAAAAAATTGTCAATAAGCGAGGTTTCTTACAATACCACAATTATTCCAGCTAATATATATTAATAAGATTTTATAAGATATATAAAATTTATTGAAATTACCTTCAAATTTAAAGTATACCTCATCGACATCTATTCCCTTGTCACGCATCCTCTGCAGTGCTCGCTCTTTTCTAATTTGCTTTTTTTTAGTACCACGTAATGACCTTTCAGATTTTTTAAATTCTGTTTGAATTATAGGTGATTTTGAATCGTTTACGCTCGTTTGAAGTTGTTTTGTTGCTTGACAATTACTTTTAGAATCAGATGATTTTTCTTTTGAATGACTTTTGGGCTTTTTGTCATACAGTAAAAAATCATTCATTCGACGTAAGACTCGTTTCTGAGAGCGTGAAAGCACGAATTTATGTATATCTAACCTAGAAAAAATAAAAGTAATAAAATTTGAAAAAAATAAATAAATAAAATATATTTACAGCAATAGACAAATAAAATTTTAAAATATGAAGTGAAATATTTTCAGTTTCAATGTAATTTTTTATTGAAAATAAATGAATTAAAACTAACCGTATGGTATATTGAGGACAACATGTCTTTTCCATGTTCGGCTTGTACAAATAACACCCTGACCTGAAAAAAAGACTATGATAAACGGTTGATTTGGCTAGCAAAAAATTACCTCCTCATTCCTCTATCTAGGAGAGAATTATAATGAGAAGTCGAGAGTCGATAAGCCCAAATGCCTGAAATAAATACATAAAGAATAAAGAAATAATGATTAAATGAACAATCGCATAGATTATTTTACCGGCACCATCCTCTATCTAATAGCTGATTAAAATGATCGCATAAAATTCTGTAGACACGCAAACCTGCAACAAGAAATATTCTTTCAAATGTTGTCAAATGTGGACTCTAGAAAATTTCAAAAAATTGCGGAAATTCTCAGAAAATTAAAAGTGGAACAAACTAATCTGCTAGTGATTATCAGGTATTATATGAGATTTAAATTATATTGGAAAGAACACTGATGAACACATTTTAGAATTTTAGACTGGTACCTGTATGGGATTTAAATGACTCTTCTTGGTTGCAATAACCACATCGGCCGCCTTCAGATGGTCCGATATAGCTCACAATTGATTTTGTCATGTTTGGAAAAATATATTAATAATCGCCAAAATCCCTTTAATCCATTTTGTGCTAAAAATTTTCTTAAGAATTTAATACAATTGTACGAGTCACCAAAAAGAACAATAATTCAGTTAATTTATAGCAACCTTCACTTTTAATCCAACAAGTAACTTCGAAGCTTCCTCAACTCTACACTTAAATTAAATGTGTAGAAATAGATAATAAATATTATATATTCTTAAATATATACTCTTGTACTGTATATACTCAAATATATACTGTAAATATATACTCTTTAAAAAAACAACCTTTGATGAATTTAATAGAAAAAATTTTATTAAAAATGTATGAAATATATATATATATATATATTTAGATAGATAAAAAATAAAGAATATATAATGTAGATAAAAACAAAGAAAAAGGAAAAATTTCTCTAAGAAGTGGAATCCGTTTGCATTACAATTTCAGCATATTTTTTCTTTTGTAGAGCTTGCCGCTTAGCAAGTTTTTCAGCCTATAACTTGTATAATTGGATTAATTTTTTCTAAAAAATTGAAAATACATTCTTGATGAGAAATTCGAATGGTAATAACATATTTTCATTAAAGGCTAATTGAGAAAATTCTTGAGTATTCAAAATTTCTAGTATAATTCAACGGTAATAAAGAACTCTTAAACACAACAAAAAGGAGTCGAACATACTTTTTTCTCTTCAGTTTTCTTCTTTTCCAACATCACTTGGAACTGAGGATCCTTTGGATCAATCCAGTAACCAAAATATTCTTGAATTTCTCGAATTCGATTTTCCATTTTTTTCTCTTCCTCACTTTTTACATCTTCCATTTTCATTAATGATGCTTTGTATTTATCCAAATGATTTGAATAATTTTCTTCGTTTTTTTGAATTTCTTTCAGCCTCAAAAAGTAATTTTTGAATTGATAAAATGATAATAAGTGATAAGTATTATTTTCATTAATTGACGAAATTCCAACCTAAGTTCAGTCTTCAGCTGAGCTTCTTTTTCTGCCATTTTTGATTCTTCTAAAACTTCTCTATATGGTTTGTAAAATCCGATAGCATATTCTTCTTGAACATCCTATATAAAAAAAAAATGAATTAGTCACAAACGTAAATATTGCGCAAAATTGCTTCAACTTCATTATACAATAAACTTACTTCAACAGAAGGCCACAATTGTCGTATGTCAACATTACTCGCAATACCGTATTTTCCAAATCGTTCACCCATTGCCCACTTTGCTTTCTCCCATTCGTACTTCACTGAACTGATTTTTCCTTCAGCTATAAGTCGATGCCTTTCATTTAACCTTAATTTTTACTTTGATAAATTTCATGAAGTCAGTCAAAAGATTCGTTGAATATTCACAAAATTTTTCGAAATAAATTTCAAGTTCATTTTAGAGGACCAGTTCTAAGGATTAATAATTACATTATAGGGTATACTGACCTCTGATCAGATGGTAAGATAATTGCCACTGAAAATCCACTGTTTCGAACCTAGCCAACAACCACACTTCTCGGACATTAATATCCCCTAACGAAGAAAGCAAAAGGGAGAATTGCTCACTAGGTTATTGGAAGATCTGATAATTCGAAGAGCTGATTTTACTTCCGGTAGAAATAAACTCGCCCATCAAAAATCCAGATTCCTTAATGTATTATCGCTTATATTTTTCTTCTATGTATTATTTCTATCGCCAAAGTATTCCCTGGATATTAACCTTGTACAGCCAGTGGAATGAATCTAACCAACAATGATGAATCTTAAAAAAAAAGATATTCAAAGAATTTAAGAAGACCATAACCAGTAGAAACGGCCACAGCAATGATTAACATTCACTGGGAATCGTCTTCAAACTCTACTTACACCCGAAAAATCCAACAACTTGATTCCTTCAACTTTTAAATTATTTTCACATCCTTCAAATCTTTGCTGCCATATGAAAACACCATTTTTTGCTATAATTATAGCCTACCTCCATTTACTTAACGCATATGACATCGGCTATGGTAAAAAGTATGATGAGGTTGGAAGAGGATATTAAGAGATATTAAAATAAAGAAAACTATAATTACAAATAAAATTACAATTTAAGAAATATAGAATGTTAAAGAAGTTGAAGACAAGTTATCAGTAGGCCGCAGCTAGACATTCAACGCAGGAAATGAAAAAGCAACTTGGAAACGCCTCACGCTTTTAGCCAATGGAACCAATCTAACCAGTAATGGTGAGGGCTGTTTGAAGAAGAACGCGATTGAAAATTCAGCTCGATTTCGTATTCTGAGGCTCCGGTCGACAGGCAAATACATAGGTGTGAAATCTTTTGGGCGCATTCGTCTTTCTTAGAATTTGGCGATGAATTAACCTTGTTTCAGCTTTGTTTTACTATACAGCAACTCTCTGACCATAAAATAGTATCAAATAAAGGCTTAATACTTTATAATATTAAATAAGCAAATCATTAATAAAATAATATTTTATTATTTATTAGGCTCCGTCAAGCTCGATTCACTCGAAATGAAGATGTTTGCAGAGACCGATTTCGATGGAACCTCACCCATTAACTATTAGGACACTTCACGCCTGCACAGCTTGCTAGAGAAAAGTTGAATTTGGTTGGTTCCCGAGAGTTCGAGCATGCGCACCTCCGAAGCACACAAGCGTATTCACGCGACCAACCCCTCACGCCACGCCTCACGTATTGCAAGGGCTATCGCCGCCTCACCAGAGACCTTGTCGGGCAAATAACGCTGAGCGATTGTAAGGAAACATTCACCTCGAAATATTTTTTGTTTTCCCAGTACTTCCACTTTCATCGGCAATCTCGCTGCGCATCCCTCGCGATTTAGCTGCGCATTCGTTTCTACTCGATAATATCGTCGATATCGATTTATTCGTTAATAATTTTCTTATTTCTTTCAGTAATTCGCAGTTGTTTAGCATTTTCTGAAACTACAGAAATAAGATAAATAAGAAATTTGTTTTAACTGAAAACAAATTCATCAAAAACCCATTAAACGATCAATACAACTACCGCAAAATAAACAAAATTGGACGCAAAAAAAAACAACTTTAAAATTTATCAGCTGTTTGCCATAAAATTCAAATCGTACGATATTTAGTAGCAGGTATAAAGCCGCTCACTAGAAATCCGGAAATGGCGGACGAGTTGCCGACGCGCTGCATTGACGCGCACGCCTAATTTTGGGATAAATGCATGCTTTTCAAAGTTTTTCTGTTAATTTAGGGAGGAAGGGGGCTCTTCTGATTTTATTATGTTCCTTAAGCATTGGTTCACTACTGTCGAAATAATTTTTTATTAAATTGACTGAAATTATCAATTTTTTATTCTAAAAGTCGCTAATCATTTCTCGCTTGGCTTTGGTTAAATTGGCTTGCTTAGGCGAATTAATTTTTGCTAGCGAGTCACTAAATTGTGGAAGTACAAGCGAGTCGCTCCTTCCATCGAGGGCGGGGTGGGGGTTGGATTGTGGCACCGGCAGTTTTCTGTTTCTATCGGCGGAGGGGGAATTCTGGCATCGGTTTCGTTTCTGAGATTATCAACCCACTGAGTATTTACAGCAATTCGCCATGGCTTACTGTAAATTGTAATTCAATTCTAAATTCAGATATCTCTTTTTATTTCGTTTTTATCAGTGTTTAAAATCAGTTTATTCATCACGATGAGCACTACGAACGCAGCGAACAAATTTTCTGTTTATGGTTTGTTTTTTCAAAATTTTTTTAAAAAAATTTCTTGATAAAATATTTCATTGTGTATGTTTTTAAAAATAGTTTCAGAAAAAGTTCGTCTTTTGAGTATTTATCTACTTGTTTAAGAGTTTTTGAGGTGTTATGGCGTTGTTTTCGTAGTATTTGTTTTATCGTAGTTTAACCAATATTTATTTAACAGATTATTTAATGTTTATATTTACTGCCAAAGGAAAACTTTTAGTAGTTACGTTATAAAATTATACACTTTAAGGGAAATGTGTATTTTATTTGTACACCATTATAAAGCATTACATTTAATATATATATATATATATATGTATATATGTATATATATATGCTCGTCCACGAACAGGTAGAATCGTCATGGATACAATTTTCAGGTAGAAACCCTAGTAAACATTTCTTAACATTTCAGAACCTATTATTTTCCATTAATACCTTTCAGTCTTATTTTGATAAATGGCAATTAAAGGTTTTTTTATAAGTTAATGGCCTATTAATATTTCAGATAATTACATATAATTTATATTTTTTATGAATATTAATGAATGCGATGTTTAAATGTCGCGTGACTATGAATTAATTATATTTAGACTGGTTAATATTCATAAAAAATAACTGGAACTATTAGACTGGTTAGAAAGCAAATTAATTCATATTAATTCAAACTAATTCTCATGTTAATCCAATTATAATTATTGAAATTAGAGAGCAGTTTAGTTATTTGAATAAAAAAGTAGTAGAATATGAACAAATAGGAACCAGTCGTGGTTATCGATTTTACTGAAAATATTTACTTATATTTTTGAAATTTTCGGTAAATAAATTATGGTGGTTTTGTTCTTTTTATAGCCATAGCATATTTAAAGTGTAAACTCAATATTTTCCGAGTTTTAACATTATTTGACCCTTTTTTCCCCTTTTTTACGATCAGTTTTTTTCTCTTTTTCGTATATAAACAGTTTAACAGTGGATTTTTTATTATATTTTATTTTCCACTTTGATTTGAAAATTTTTAAATAGTATGTAAAGACTAAAAGATCAGTGGAATTACAGTGAATTATGTAAAGGAGCAATTCTCAGTTTTTTAGGCTAAAAAACAAAAGTTTTTTGAAAAGTAAATTTTTTTGCAGGTAACAAGAAAAAGAGAGAGAGCTAAGCAGTATCATACATCGTATCTCATTTTTGCGCTCGTTCGGTGTTTATCACAAAATAAAATGAAGCGATGAAAAAAAAAAAGATACTGGCTTGTATGAGATAATTTGATTTAGTTTAATATGTTTAGTGTATAGAGAGTTTCAATTAATTTTTGATTAATGAAAAATTCTTGGAATGAAAATTATTTTATTAAATTTTCAGTGGGAAACATTCCATATAATTGCTCCGAAGCTGATATCGGATCATTTTTCAGCCAAATGGGAACTGTTCTTAGTGTTCGGTAAAGTTTATTTTATTTTTGTAAATTTTCAAATTTTCTTTTCCATTTTTCTAACCTTTCATGAGTTTTTTTTCTTCTGAAAGCATTCACGTTTGCTGGTTAGGCTCGCTCAGCTGGTTTATTGGACCAGGCTAATTCTTCCTTCGAGCCCTTGATGATCGAAGTACAGATGGGTCGTCAACATCAGGTCTTCGAAGGACAAACTTATCCCTGCAAGCGTAATATCTCAGCATCGGTGCTCCGAACAGAGGAATCCACTGAACCATTCGGCCATCGAAATTTTTGGAATTTTGAATGGCAGATAAATAATCTATAATTTGCATGAAAAGTAGACATTCAGTCTTTTATAAAATTTATTGTGGCATCGAAATTTATAAATAGTATTATATAAATAAAATTTGTATTAATATATTATTTTATTATTATTTTAATTTTAGACTGATTTATGATCGTGAAACTGGTCGTGCTAAAGGATTCGGATTTTGTGATTTTGCCGATGAAACAGCTGCAAATGGTGCTATAACTACACTAAATGGAGCTGATTTTTATGGTCGTCCGTTACGTGTTAATTGGGCCAATAATCACTGATTGCATGATTATGATATAACTTTTTCCGTTTATTTCGGAATTTCTCATTTTTTTTTTAAATTCAGAAATAAATATCATTATGAAAGAATAAATTCCAGTGATATTCACTCGCAATGTCGAGTTGGGTTACTAAAATTGTTATGCTTATTTTTCTATTCTTCCCTATTAATACTATTTAATCCCAGTGTTGGTTCTATAGTGCTGTATTTATATTTTGTCACTAAAATTGAATCGTTTGATAAATTTTTTTACTAAGGACATGGCTTAAGCTTCCAAGAATTGAAATATGTAAATAGTGGTTCTGGACCTAAAGAACGAAATGGGTTTATTGTATCGCTTTGATTGAGCTCAAAAATTTCGTTTCTATGAATATAATTCTATCGTCAATGCTAAAGAAGCTCGTTCTTTAAGGCTGGTGAAGTTCCAATCTGGTTGATCTCAGCTGACGTGTTTGGGGAAAAGAGTCATCACTGAGCTGAAGAGGACTAAAGGTTCTGGCGAAAGTGGGAGTCGTGTATTGCAAGAAGAAATATTTTTGGATTGAAGTAAATCGGCGTTATTTTATTGAAGAGGGCATAGGTCAGTGCAAAGGAGGCAGCGTAGTGTTGAATCATAGGAGATTCTATGATGTTGGTTAGATCAAATATTAGTTTCACGAATTATTTCAGTTCGACGGTATGAAATCAAGGAAACGATCTGCAAAACAGTCGTCTTCAAAGTCAAAGTTGTCTAACGAAGAAAACGATTCATCTAAAAAAATTGAGACCTTTGAGAAAAGTATACCCGAAAAGAAGTCCAAAATGGATCGCATTAGTATGAAAATTATCTCATGGAATATTGCTGGGATGAAATCGTGGCTAAAGGTGAGATTTTTAATTTTGAGGGTTTTTTAACTTTCTTTATTTGGAGGTCGCGTTCATTCTTTGGGGTTAGAATAGCTGAGTAAGTTGTTACTCTCATTTCCGATCTTAGAAAAAAAATAAAAATATTTTCATGGTGCTGTTACAGAAAAAATGCTTGGACGAGTTATGTCGTACCGACACTCCGGATATTATTGCCTTGCAGGAAACGAGAATTTCTGAAATTCCTAAGGAAATAGGAAATGCGGGTTTTCAAGCTTATCTAAATGCGTCAAAGAAAAGTGGTTATGCTGGAGTAATGCTTTTATGCAAAAAAGAACCTTTGAATGTTTGTGATCTAAATTTTTTATTCAATTTATTTAAATTTTTAAAAATTTATAGGAGCCATCCTTCTTAAAAAATTATAAAATATTAATCCGCGACAATGATTTCGTTGCTTCTTCAAAAAGTCTTTAAGTTTTATTAAACTTCCAATAATGATTTGGATTTAATTCCTAATGATACGGAAAGGCAAAATATGGGGAATTATGCCGAATATAGCCAAACTTATACTAAATTGTTCAGTAAAATTAAGAAAAGTGGAAATTCGCCACTTTTTGAGGAATCGAAGTAATATCTATTAATCCTCAAGTGACTCTGTGGTGAGATGATCTGGTTTCACTGATATGGTGTCCGCATCCTTCGATACACATGATATTTCTAGCCTGGTAGCATATGCGATAAATTATATACATAGTATATAAATCGGACCTGGTAAAATTTGTGAATAAAAAGAGCTCTTGAACCAAGATAACTGTTAATGTAGATTGACAACTATCGATTGGCTCTATGTGCACTAGGCGAGATCCCGTGATCGTAGCACCTTGCAATGCCAGAACTGTCATGGGAATGTATAAATATCGTGTGGACATCATCTGCTTATTTTTGTCTTTCTCACTTTGAACTTTATGCAACCATTGAACTTGGTTCGATGTAAGAGGTACTGGTTCTATCATCATGATGCTCCGAATCCTTATTCGGTATGAAATGGCGGAGCAATCGTGTCATATGCCCACTTCAGAGGGAAGTTCTGCAATGTCTCGATCATTTTTGCTATACTTTATGCGCAGATAATTATTTCTTGCTAAATCGTACGTTGGATAGCATCAGAAACATGGAGGAACAATCAAGACATAGTCTGGACTGATGCAGTCAGAAGGAATTTGAACATATATTAGATGGTGAAAAAAAGTGGTTTATTTTAATGTGAGGCATATCATCGAATCATGAAGGCGCTTTCCTTTTGTAGCCATCGGAGCCATCTTAATCAGTAATGGTGATTAGAAGACGGAGAAGATCTGTTAGAAAATTTTCAAAATTCAGTTAGTTCTATTAAGACGATTTTTATTATTTTCCATTTTCAGATATTCTATGAATTTCCAGCAGAGCAAAAAATTCCGAGTCGTCTTGAGACTAAGGGTCGCTTATTAATCGCCGAATTTAATAATTTTTTTTTCATCAACACTTATGTACCGAATAGTGGCCGCGGTTTGGTCAATTTAAGCAAACGAAAAGACTGGGATGATGTTTTTTTTGAAGAAATAAAAAAATTAGATTCAAAAAAGCCTGTTATATACGCTGGTGATCTGAATGTTGCTCATGAAGAAATTGGTTAGCAGTTGACATAAATTTATTTACTTTTAACTTCCCATAAATTTTTGATATCTAAATATTTAAATTTACTGTTTTTTTTTCGTATTTTCAAGCAATTTTGCTTTTAACTGCAATAAAAATTTCTTTATCCACAAATTCTTCAAAATTAAGATTTGGCTAATCCAAAGGCGAATAAGAATAAAACGGCTGGTTTTACTGATCAGGAGCGCAACGATTTTACCCGATTGCTCGAAGCTGGTATTTTCTTCTTTTTTCATAATCTTTGGCAGATCTTTTTAACAATAATATTTCATTTACAAATACTCAATATTTTATAATTATATAATTCGTAATCATGCAATATTTTAGGATATATAATATTTCCATAATTTAATAATAATAAATTCTGCTTTGTTTTTTATTTAAAGCCTTTTAAAATAGACTTTATGAACTGTTTTACTGTTCTGTGAACTGTTCTACCTAACTTAATGAAAAATTTTTATAGTATACTTCATTAAATTTGTTTTTATTAGGATTTACCGATGCTTTTCGACATCTAAATCCAAACAAAGAGGGTGCTTACACATTCTGGTCGAATATGCATAATTCCAGAACCAACAATGTTGGATGGAGGTAATCATTTTTATTTTTTTTGCGAAAATTGGATTAGTTAGAAATTGTCTAAGCATTCAGCAGTCCAGATCTTTGTTAAAAAACTTGACTTGGGAAAAATTGGTGATGTATAAAATTTAAAATATGAAATATAGAAGACATATTATATGTTATATTATATATATTAATATTATATTATATAGAAGATAGAACCGTGGAAAGTATATAACATATAGAAAAAATAAGTTTGCAGTTTTAATATTCGATTGGTATTTGAATTTAGACTCGATTATTTTGTTATAAGTAATCGTATGATGAATCAGATAGAGCAATGTGAGATTTGCTCAGATGTCAGAGGTAGCGATCATTGTCCAATATCACTTCGAATCAGTGTTTGATAAAAATTGTAGTGGTGATTGTCGTGAATCAATCCATTCTTATATAACTGTACTTTTCATGTAGTTTTTCACATTTTCATATAGTTTTCATGTAGTTTCCAAAATTTAATCATTTTTCATAGCGATATTTTTAAGAAGGATCTCTAAGTTTACGTTGCTATTATATTCGTCTTTAAAATTTTGTTATTTTTTTTTTCAAAGTCAGTTGATCATTTCTGGTTAGGCTCATGCTGGCTCACTGGACCGAGCAACAAATTTTGCTAGGAAATTATTTAGCAGTAGAAATATAGGTAAGTCACGAGCATCACTTGATTTTAGAAGGCTTAATTTTACGAATAAAATTTGTCGATTTTCATAAATTTTCATAATTTTTATAATATCGAGAATTTCAGAAAAGTTGTTCGGATAATGATCTAATAATGAACCTTCAGTTTTATTTTCACCAGATTAAATTAGATTTTATTTCATTATATAATTTTTATTTTTATCATTTTTTCAAAAATTTTATCAATTGTTTTTCCATAATTATAAAATTTTGCTGTCTTTTCATATGTTTATTTTTAAATTACATAAAATTATCGATGAAAACAACAAAATGAGTATTTACAGTTGGTCATTGTGATGTGATTAGGAAAAGGCAAAAGTTTTTTGTATAGCCTTCCTATACAGCCAGTCTATGAAGAGTAAGCGCCCTCTTAATTTCTTTGCAGTGGTTTAGATTTTTGGAATGCTGTTCAATAATATAATAATACAATAAGTGTAAAAAAGTCGTAAAGAAGGGAGGCAAAAGGCTGTGAAGAGTCGAGCCCTTCAACTGATTCAACCAGTGGATGAGAAGCTCTTTGTTCCTTTTTCTTTGCTTATATAGCTAGCTTGCTAGTTATAAAAAAGACCTTGGTGGAGGTTTTCGAGGAGAATGAACGATGATATTTGATCCGATACCGTTGATTAAACGTTTAGTCTATATTATTTTGGTCAGAATGACTAAAATTTTTGCCGTAAAAAGTGCAAATGTACAGATTAAGCAAAAAACTGGAACATAAAAAATATATGTGATTGCGAAAAATATGCATTTTCTCTACAAGAATTCACAATGGAAAATTTACGAGATGATAATAGATAGATAACGATGGAATTTTCCGAAATCCCAATAAATTTAATAAATTTTCAGCTAAACTTCGAGGTCTTCTCGAAATTCCTCATTTTAAAATTATAATATTCTGTTTTGGCATAAGTAAAGCATTTGAAATGAATAGAACAAGAAAAAGAAGAGATTCAGTGGAACTTCCCAGCAGCCTGGCAATATTTCATTCTCATTTTGTCGATAAATATTTAGAAATTCACAAAATCAACTAAGAATTTATCTAATTAAGTGCAATTATTATTATAATAATTATAAAATTATTAAAGAAGAAAGAATTTAAAATTCATGCAGCCAAAACAGCTTAATTATTTATTTATAGCCAAGATTCAATGAAGAAATTCGGCAATAATTAGAAAGTTGGAAATTGGAAAAGTAATTGATTTTGCAAATCGCGCAACACGCTTGTTTAATTCATTAACACGGCTTAGTAATCCAACTAAACCAAACATAAAGCGTTGTTTTGCCAGAGTTGTGCACATAATGAGCCTAAGCCAAGAGGTTCGTTCAGCCTCCAATTCAAATAGTCCACTATTGTTCCATCTGTCCATTCAAACTGTTTAGTTTTAAAATAAAGTGAATTTAGTCCAATATATTTGCAGACATCTTTCGCAAGTTTATAATTTTTTTGGAAATATTATAATTAAGTTCCAGTGACACTCCTTTGGCTGGTCTCGCTGAACTCCTTTCTCCAAACGAAATCATTTATGATAAATTTTTTCAAATAGTTTTAGTAAATTCCGTACGATTTTGAAAAATTTTGGTAAATTCGATCTAATATTGATTAATATTCAGAGAAACTCCCTCTTTATTTTTAAACCCAAGAGAGCTGGTGTGGTGAATGCCACTGGAACTACTCGAGAGGCTCAGCACGATGAGAAGAGGTGATATTGATTTTATCGCTTTTGTCACTGAAACGTGATTCTTAACAGGAGTAAATCTATTGTTGAAAGTGAAATCCGGTGACGATCCATTTCTATCCCGAAGTGAGCCTCGCGAGATAGCCTTTCAGCATATTTAATATTCGAGCTATCCAAAATTAAGTAGGATTAGAAGAAGAAGATTGCAAGGCTGGATTAATGGCAAAATAATTTTGAATTTTAATTTTATTAGACAATGCTCAATAATTCGTTACAAAAATCTCCATCAAATCTAAAATTAAGGCTGAAGCTGAAAAAAAGCTAACAAGAAATGAAATCGTCCTCTTCTTTGGAATGAACTGATGTTAAATTGCCACCTTCAGATAGATTTTGAAATTGTAAACACCATGTGTTGCTCTACAGCCATAAGAAAGAACCTATAAAATTTATAAATTAACAGCTGAAAGGATCAGGGACAATCCAAAATGAAGGCTATGTATGTGAAGGTCTGGTTATATGCGTTATGTATGTGGGCTCAGAGTATTAGCAAATTTTATAAAGGCCATCAGTCATTTAAATAACTTTCTGCTTTCCTGGGCCCATATATTTGTCTTTAAAGTATATTCCTTCATCTCCATCAACTTCTATTGGCCATGTCAACTTCATTGGATTGAGTTTGTATTATCATCTTTTATATAGCCATTTGGGATTAGAGTGGATCGGAGGTAAATCAAAGCAGCACATTCTCAGCTGGCAATGAATTTATAAAAAGAAGCATTTTATCAGCTTCTTGTATATAAGATGAAAAATTTTCGTTTTAATTTACATTGACCCTGGGTCCAATTTTCGCTGCGGGTTGACACGTTGTAACATTATTTACATTTCATAACTATACACCTACTCGCTGGCAAAAAATATCTAATTGTAGTAAAAACCAGCAATATTATTCTCATCAGAGATGGTGAGCATTATTTACTTGCTTCATTTTGCTTTACTGTAGGTTATTAATAATATCGCTTTGGATTCCATATCTTCAAAGGAATTCCGGAACTTGCTATATACCCCTTCCAAATCTTACCATATGCCACTAGTCTCATTATATAATCTGAATGTGCAAGATAGATATCTCATAAGTGATAGATCTCCCAGAACCTGTTATAATTACGCATATTTCCAAAATCTCCTTAATGCATACTTTTTAAAAATCTAGACATCGTTATGCTGCCGCATGGTAAACTGGCAGAATGACACCAAAACCCCTCTCTTTTAATATAATGCACCAACACCATCTCTGTCTTTGACCTCCTTCCTTGCCTGCCATGTGTTCTGTGAAAAATTTTCCCACACTCTGCCAGGTATAATTCTTTTGCAGTTTACATTTAAATAACGTAATTTATAAATAACATCATTTTATACCGTTTTAATCCTCCCAAACTCAATAATCTCAAGCAAAGTAATATACTATCTTGGAAGTAGCCACTTTTTAAATCTCAGTATATTTCTCAAATAGCTTCATTAGAACCTGTACCTCGCTATTTCATTAATTCTCCATCAATCTAATGTATCCTTTTGACATGCCCCACATGTAGTATTACCTTAATTATCCTTACACTCTTTATCTTCATTTTTTCGATGAATCAATAGAGCAATAGAGCAATATCTTGGCAAAAACAAAAAAGCTAATATGATTCTCGGTTCCATAATCCTTTTACCATCCACATCCACATAATACCAATCCTACGTTTACGTGGGAAAATATCTTTACAAGATGAACAAATAGATTTAATAGTTTCTTTTCCTAAATGATTTCAGATTATTCTATTAAATTTTTAAATTTTCTTATAACTTGAATTAGTTCCAGCAAAAAAAATCCAAATCCATTTCTGCTTCCGTTTAAAACAAGAAAAACAAAAAAGAAAATAAGAAAATCAGTTTTGTTCTTTTTCATTTTCATTCTTAGGAATTAAAGTTGAATCAAGGTTTAGAATAGTTAAATCAAAGCTTTCTTGGTCTCGCATCGGTTAAAAAGTGGGTAGCTCGCCATTTCTGGTTAGAATCATTTAGTGTGATTAGAAATTTTTGCCAGGGAGTCAGGTGATAGAAGTAAGGGTATCCGACACCAATCCGAATTTTTAACGACAGGCTTACTGGTTCGATTGGCTCCGCTGGCCTTAGAGAAGGAAAGCGCCAGATGACATTTTTTTCCACTAAATGTCTAAACCCATTTATTGACATATAATCTTACATCTTTTCGCATAAATTTTAAAGGCCATATAAATTCGTAAATTATTCAAGATGCTTGGCTATTTAAATTTCCTCAACCATTTATTTGCAATAATTTCTTGCTACAAGAGTTGAAGTAGACGCTTTGTAGCCAGTGCAGCCAGCCTAATCAGTAATGGTGAGTGCCATTAGAAGGTTATTTCTAGCATATTCTTCAAAATATTACCCTTACCCTTATTATTCTTAGCCTTCTTGCACTAATGATAGGTGCATTCTGTACAATTAAACGAATGTTGGCGTGTATCTTTTGAATAAACAGCAAATCGCTCCCTGTGACGATGAAACAATTTGCGAAATACGATGAAAAATCTGGATAGCAAATTATATAGCACATTGCAAGCATTTCGACTGACAAAATTCGATTTGATCAACTCGTAGAATTTTACTAATTCCCACTGAATAACCATCATAACTTCCTAATGTTCCATTGATTTCATTTCCTGATAAGCACCAAAAGAAAAAAATCGGCGACAAATGATTAAAAAATTCCTCAGAATATCTCAAAAATTCAGGCTTTGTGATATTTTTTATAAGAAAACCACGAAGTGAATGGTACTGCTTTTCATTCATCAATAATTTTTCATTTTTTTTCTACAATCAAATATTGTAGCAGAATTATAAGCTTGAGCCACGTAATATTTTTGCTTTTAATCCTCTTCCCCTTTCCCTCTATTTAATACCAGTGAAAAACTAGCCCAACCGACGACCAGGTCTGTCGCTCATACACCCCCACAAACATAAATATGCCCTAATACACATACATGCAGATAATATATGGCTCATATGCACGTAATGAATGTGATACGTGATGAACACATGGGCATATACATTAAACACTCGCGTATCACATGATGGTATATAGGCAACATATGTATATATATATATATATATATATATATAATATAACTGAACACGTAGACACAGATAAACAAACGCAAGGTCAGGAAGCCTGGAAACTTCTTGTATGATGCCAGTGATGCGAGCTACTAGGAGAAGAAATGCATACAGTTAGATGCAACACAACTATATGCGCGCTCGTACGCTAAATGATTATAAAGGTAGCAGGTTTTGGTATTATATGATAGCAATGAAGCAATCCAATTCTCATAAAAACCATGTCGCATATTTGTATTATCGCCATAAAATCCATAAAAATTCTGTCATGGCTATATTATTCTAAAATTATAGAAATTATTTCCTTCTCATTCCTGAGTGGTATAAGTCGCTCTCAATCTCTACGAGAAGCCTCGGGAATTAAGGTAAGGCAAACAAGCTTAGACAGCTTCGCTCAAAGATTCTCACATGAAAGGTGAGAAGAAGATTGGATGCGATTCGAACCACTGTTACTACATTCCATATAAATCGCTCGTTTTAATCATTAAGCCGCTATTTCGGCGCTAAAGAAATCTCATTCCTTGTGGCTGGTAATCCTCAAATTCGAGGCTTCTACCAGAGCTCTAAGAGACTAGTAAAACAGATATCATCAAAGGCTCATAAAATTTTGCAGTGGCTAAATTATTCTAAAAATAAGCCTATATAAAATAAAACACGAATCTCCTTCAACGCAATTTGAAATAAATTATTTATAAGATGAAAAGAGTTTACATGAAAATCGATTTAAAATTGAAATTGTTTACTTTAACTGAAAGCTGAAATTGTTTACTATTTATCTTATATTTTTTAAATTACCTTCTAGACAGTACTCAATATTAGCGTATTTATCCATCCATGGAACTGAGATAAGCCAGCAAATTTATCATACATTTACCTGTTTTATTAATAAATATAAAAATTGGATAATCGTGCTTATCAATAATAAACAATGGCACAAATAAAATTATTTTAATTTACAACAAATTTAATCTTTGTCGAAATTACAAAAAATTGTTATTTTATATATTTTTTTTAAATTACATAAATTTGCTGGCTTACATTTAAATTACATTTTTACTATATTTTGATTGGTCGTAATAATATTTATTTTCAACTAAAAGAAAAAACTCACAAAAATACGAATAATAATGAATAATATACAAATAAGCATATTATTAATTTATAATAAATGTGGCAAAATTTAGTTGCGCAAAATAAAACTGTCTAGAGTTTGAACGTTACAATCGGTTTTAATTACTAAACTGTTATGTTTTCCAATAAATTTTTACATCTCCACTTTCTTTTCTAAATAATCGTTTAAAAAATCAGAAATTTGCAAAAAATCGTCGTCATGAAATATAGGAATTTTTTAAATTCCTTAGGTTTTCCTCCTCAAATTTGTTTCACTTAATCTTCAAATCATTTCTATTATGATTGTTTCCTCAGAATTTTTGAAGAAGCTGAGCAGAGAATTGTAGAAATTTGCCTGGTCTGACAAGTCAGCGAATCGAGAAGCCTCATCAAAAATGTTGGATGCGCATGGAAAAGAAATCCATGCTGAATAATAAAAACGTTTGACAAATACTCCATATTTTTATTTAAAATTTTATCATAATTCACGAATTACAATAGAATAATATACAGTACGTAAGCAAATATTTGCTGGATTACATTTATATTTAGCTGAGTGGAAATTAATAAATTTTTCAATAATGTTGAGGAATTTATAAGAATATTAATCATTATAATTATAATAATAATAACAAAAAAGAACAAAAAATGGAGAAAATTCCTTTATTAAATAGTTTAGAATATTATAAAAATTTTTTAATTAAAGAAAACACGAAAAAACGAGCGACAATTAATATTCACCCATTTTAAAAATGACATAAATCTAATAAAATTCATAAAGCATTTTGGATTTGAGATAGCATAAATAGTAAAAAAGAATTGCTAAAAAATTTATTATTTTGAATTCATAATTATTTCATATAATTTTGCTTATTATCATTATAATTTTACTATTATTTTACTATTATCATCATAATTTTATTTTTCATTAAGCACATACAATTATATAAAATTTAAAAATTTCTCAACATAATTTTAAATTTTCAAAATAAAATATAAGACATTTTCAAATTAAAATTGATGAAAAAACCTAGAAATTTAGTCATATTAAAATATTAAAGCTTACCATAATTAATACCACATACAAATATATAATACGCAAATTAAAGCAATTATTTAATAAAATCTAATAAAAAATTTATAACTGATCGGAGAGAGTGGCTGATAAGACCACACATAATTAAGTATTCCATAAAGATACGTAAAATTGAGAATTTTAATAAAAAAAGAGAAAAATTTGGGCGAACAAACGCGCCATACGAAAATTTTTGGAAGATACGTGGAAGACATCAGTTAATAAAATAATTAAAGAATAATAATAAAATAGAACCTTCAGAAAAGATTAAAATATTTTGAAAAGAAAAGTTGGAAGCACAAAAGCAGAGGAAGCATTTGAAAGAAATATATATATATTTTAGGCCTAAAATCTTTTCAAATGATTATTTCTTTAAATTCCGCATGGAACTTTAGGAGTATTTTTAAAATCGAAAAAATTTTTTTACATTAAAAAGAAAACAACAATGAAATTATTTTTAAAAAAAATATACATTATTTAAGGCAACAATTCTAAATTATTATTGCTAATAGATTTATTGAATTGTAGCTAACAAAATATCTTAAAAAAGCAAGGAATGTTCATAAGTTGTTTAGCACTTCAAATACAATAAATAAGCAAATTTTGGTTTTAATTAGATCGAATACTAAAAACAAAAAAAAACCACAATCGACCATATAAACCAACTAGCATCTAACAGTGATAATGATGATAAAAATGGAAAAATTTTTATTTAATCAAAAATTTTAAGTCTACTAATCAATGATAAGAATGCGCTACTCCACAAAAAATTACCTTCGTAGTGCAGAAATTTAAAATTTTTTTACAAATTCTATCTTTCCTTTCCAAAGCTAATCATCTACCACAATCATCTAATAATACTTCACCATTTCACAGTTAAAAGTTCTGACACGAATAAAAATAATGAAATTAACCGATTCAAATCTAATTTTGCCAAAGAAAAGTTGGTATCATACTAAAAGCCAATAATAAATTCACTTAAAACGATTATTAGATTTCATTTTTTTTTTAGTTCATCTGGCTAAATCAGTTAATATAACGAAATTACGGTTCATTGACCCAGAAGAACCAAAATAAACTCGAATTCCAAATCTCCAAAATATTTGGCATTGAATTAAGTAGAATTTTAAGAAAATTTGGCTTTACAACTTATGAATATATTATGCATCAATTCTAAATATATTTAATAATATTTAAAGTAGGATTTAGAGATCCAAATCACAGCTTAATTAAACCGAATAATCGCAAAAAAAAACGAAAAAAAAATTTTGGAAAAATATTTCGATAAAAATAAATAATACAATAATAATATTAAGCAAAAATAATAATTTGACAAAAAAACAACATAAAAAAACTACTTTCAATGGATAATTTATTGCTTATTTCTAATTTTGGCATAAATTCTGATAAAAAAATTCATCACGGGGAATGAGGAAAAAATGCGCGAAAGTAAAAAAAATGAGACAAATGCATATGAAAGGAGACACACGAGTTTGTAGTTAAATATTGACGCCGTAATAATGAGAAGAAGAATAATGCTTGAGAATTTTTTAAGGTAAACCACCGAGAAATATTTCACGCGCTTTTTGATGCTCTGCTGATTCACAGTGCAATTTAAATTCGACCTGAAATTTATTTCGCAACGTTAGAAATTCTTGGGAGAAAATTCACGAAAACTATCACGACTGATCTTAGTTTGCTGTTAGCATAAAAAAATTTTTCATCGAAAATCTGATAAATTTTCAGTTTTTTAGAGGAAATTCGAAGCATTTTAGTGAGAAAAACTTGAAACGAAACCTGCGTTCCTAATTTCGTATTACAAGCACGGCATTCGTAATGACTTTGGATAAGTTTAAATATCGAATCACAGTTTTGACAAATTAGTCGCTGATGATTTTTTAATAATAATTCTTGTTGGAATACGTTAGTGCATTGAGGACATGCCCATCCAACCTGGAATTTTATTATTGCTTTTGGATAGAACCATGCAAGGTAGAAGGACTGAAATAAGCCATAGCCACTATCCATTTATGCGGAACCATTCTTAAAAATAATTATTTTTTTGTTTCAACTATCATCAACTTATTATTAGAACAATTATAATGATTGATTATTGGAGTCCAAAATGAAAAATTACTTCACTATCCTTGCTAGCTGCACATTGAAAATCTCTAAAAGGCAAAATAGCGACAAGTTGCTGAAATGTTTTCCCATCCTGAGTAAATTTCGTTGAATCGTTTCCAGCACTTATGTCCGCTGTTATTTGGGCCATTACACTCTCCGGAATTTGCAATAATGGAATCGGAGTTCCCATTAAATTTGGGTCATACATGATTGGTGCCAAACCTAAAATTTAATAGCTTTAATGAAATTATCGCGTATAATGCAATCACACTTAAAATCAACAATTGAAATTAATTAATTAACCTGGCTGTAGGCCATAAACGAGATTGTAAGGGAACTGAGAAGGGACAAGACTCGCATTGTGAGAATTCTGTGAACTTGTCGGTTTGTTTATTTTGCGATCTCGAACGGCTTTTATCCTAAAATTTACAGCTCCTTTAACGCCAAGTACTCATATCACATCATAAAATAATACTTTGCATCGCTATAATTATAATAAACCTTGTCCGTTGATTTTCTTCTTTTTCGATATTATTTTCAGAAATAGGTGCATTTTCTCGATTTATATCCGATGAAATATCAGTTCGTAGTAATCGTTTTACTTTATCCAAATGATCGGATGTAAAAATATGATCATGTAAGGTTAGTCGATGATTATAATCCACTCCACATAATTTACACTGATTCGTTGAATTTCGATGCATTTCATCCTCTCCTAAATTTTCCAGAATATCAGAGTGCCAGAAAATAGAATTAAATAATTCACATTTTTTCTCAATCTTTAGATAAAAAACAAACCATTAAAAGCCCTTGTTTTACGTTCTTTAGCTCGAGCATTTTGGAACCAAACTTGTACAACTCGCTTATGCAGACCAATATCACTTCCAAGAGTATCACATTCAGTCATTGATGGTGTTTTATAATCTGTGAATACACTTTTCATCACCTAAAAAAATAATTCCTTCCTACACGTAATGTAGAAGCAAACTCAAGATGTGAATCAGACTGAATGAATCGACGATGAAAAGTACATACATGTACTTGCATAGGTGTTAGATGAGTTCGATATCGTTTAGAATTTGTTGGACTGTTTCTTTGATTTGTCCTCAGAGCACTACCTAGATTGATTGGCGATGAACTATTGTATCGTTCACAAGTTTCGATGTTATCGCTGTTATCATCATTGTCATTGTCAGACTGATAATAAGACGGAGACACCGATAGAGAGTCTTCATGCCTTTAAAGAAATTTTAAATATAGAATGGATATAAATTTCAAATAATTTTTAAGTAAAGAACCAATAATATTAAAAATTCTTCGATGCAAATTCTTCTAAGTGAGAAAAATAGTTGAATTACCCTTCTCCATTGGTCGTATAACTTAAATCAAGAGGTGTGGATTCTGATTTCTTAGGAGCACCATTTGATTTTGAAGAATCACTATCATCTGTGGCGACTGTAGTAATTGTAGGCACCTTAGAAAGCAAAATTTTCAGAAACTGCAATAGGCTTAATGGGTAATTAGAGTGGACAAATCTTTTTACTATACAATCAATATTTTTGGAGCACAAAATTTACAAGTAATAAAATGGCTTTTTTTCTAACAGCATCCACCATTTCTAGTTAGATTCTCTAAACAAGTTTTGCGAAGGAGACGCCTAACAACAGAAATATAACTGAGTCCCCAACATCATCTGCATTTTCAAAAGGTTAATTCCTGCATGGAATAGAATCCTAGTATAAGCGCTTCGAAATGAAAGTAATATATCATATCGTATTAAAAAAAAATATCCTTTTTTGCTCAGACATTAGATAAATTCATATATTTTATATAAATTTTGTTATAAAATATGATAAAATCAGCCTAGACGTTTCAGTGAAAATTTTCCCTTCCCTTTTTCTCAACAGACTTATGAAAGTACGAGAGAGCCCTAATCAAACTGGATATAGACCGAGGCGCAGTTGTGCTGACCAGATATTCACGTTAAGAAGGGTGTTGGAACATTGCTTCAGATATTTGCAACCCACTATCACCTGTTTCATCGACTTTGCGGCTGCCTTTGATTCAATTGATAGGAAGGCCCTTTGGAGGGTGATGGAATGCGATGGTGTTCCATAGAAGATCGTTCCACTCATAAAGGAATTTTATGAGCGTATGTCGGCGCAGGTCTGTGTATATGGGGAGCTAACAGATTCCTTCGAAATAAGAACAGGTCCGTCAGGGCCCTTTCCCCCACAATATTTAACTATGCGATAGACTGGATAATGGACACTGCTTGTCGGCACTCAAGAGATGTCCGAATTAGTCCAGAGCATCGTATCACAGATTTTGAATACGCTGATGATGTAGTCCTTTTTGCTGACAGTTATAATGAAATGCAAGTAATACTAAATAATGTGTGACAAACTGCAGCAAGAATCGGATTCAGGATCAATATAAATAAAATTGAAGTCTTTTCGTCTTAAATGCAAGAAAAGCTGATAAAATGCCTCTTTTTGTGAATTTATTGCCGATCGAGGAAGTGCCCGATTTTAAATACTTTGGGTCCACTTTAATACCAAATGGCCAGGCAAAAGAGCCTATATTATAGCCCGGATCACGGCAGCTAGAAATGCGTTTGTGTTCTTCCGGCTGACAAAACCTTTATGGAGCCGTTTTGAAATCACCATGAAAACAAAAATCCGCATCTATATAGCCATGATTCGTTCGATCTTGTTATATGGTTCTGAGACATGGCCAATGAGAGTGGAGGATATTAAGAAGCTATCTACCTTTGACCACTTTTGTCTAAGGTACATTTTACGGATCCGTCGAGCTGATAAAATATCATATGATCGCATCCACCTTCGTTCAAACACCACCTGTTTTAATAATGTTATCACAGAGCGTCGCCTTCGGTGGTTAGAGCACCCCACGTCGCTCACCATAAGAATTGTCGCATATTTCGTTACTTGCTAAACCGTATGATGGATGGCATCAAAAGCGAGGTGGGCCAATCAAGACCTGGAGGACTGATATGGTCAGGAAAGATTTTGAACGTATAGGTGGGCCACTTAGACGATGGAAAAAGGAATGGTTTCTATTACAGTCGACGAATAGCATCAGACCGCGCCGTTTTAAAGCTTCTTATGCTTGTAGCCGTTGAAGCCAGCCTAACCAGTAATGGCAAGAGCTGTTAGAAGAAGAAGAAGAATAAAATATGATATTAAACTAAGCCTTTCGATTAGCTTTTCTTTCTTATTCGCATAAATCGAAAAGTAATTAATTAAATAAAAAACATTGCTATAAAAACAACATCAATTATAATAAATGAATTGCGGTAACAAACATACGTCTTCAGCGTCAGGTAATAAATCAACATCAACTGGTGTACTATTTGCTTGTTCATGATGCCTCGATGGAATATGATTGATAAGAGAATCGCGAGAGTGAAATAATAAACAACAAAATGGACATCGTTTATAAAATGCTTTCTTCTTTTCTCTTACTTTCTTCAAAAAGAAAATTTTAATTCTTTTTTAGAAATTAGAGACAAACAAAGGCTTTAAATTATTTAAAATTATTTATTATACAATTAAATAATAAATGGTAAAATAAATAATAGTAATAAATAATCGAATCTAAGAAAAATTTTTTTAATAAAAAAACCAAATTAAACTAATTTTAACAATTAAAAAAAATTTAATAGGAAAATTTAGAAAAATACAGAAAAATAATTCAATGAATAAATATAAAAAAAACAACCAATAAGAAAAATTTTTAATCACAAAAATAAAAAAAGTATCGAATAATAGAAAAAATTATTTAAAATAATTAATTATTTAATGAAATGATTAATTATTGAAATATATGATTAATTATTAAAAAATTATTAAAATATAAATATGAAAAATGTTGAAGCGATTTTATAGAAAAAAACAAACCAATTTAAGGGTTGCAGCATCATGAGGCTTAGTTAATAATTTGAAAAATTCTGTTTGACTAATATCAGTTCCAGTTTCTGTAGATGCAGTTCCTATTAATTGAGCTAGTGCACCAAGATTTGTTTGGCTATTAGCTGATAATGAACCAAATGATAAATCTCGACTTTCCGATTCAAATATATTCTTTTCATCTTCACTCAAATTTTCCTCAACCGCCTAAAATTTTTTCGTATCTTTTTTTAAATTAAGAAATGATAAAATTTTTAAAAATAATTTGAAATTATTTAAAATAAAAAATAGTATTTTATTAATAATAATATTATTATTAATAAAAATAATACTTTATTAATACAACTAATCACAGAAAACGACCTTATTATCTTTTTGCTGAGCTATACAATCGCCTTTATAACAAAGCTTTTGCTGATGTTGAATAAGTTCATAATAGCGCTGAAAAACAAGTTGACACCTTTTGCACTGAAAATTACTGCCCGGAGTTTTCATAAAACGATCATCATTCGTTATTGCTGGTTGATTTTCATAAATTTTTCGTGCCTAAATATAATATAATATACGCACAATTTTTACCTAATTTAGTTCATTAAATCAAAATTTTCAAAAAATACAAGCAAAAATTTTTAATAATTTATTAAAAATGGTACCTTTTGACGGGCATTTTGAAACCAAACAACGATCACACGTGGACTTAATTGCAACTTTTTCGATAAGATCTCGAGATCGTCATCTTTTGGATAAGCTTGCTTATCAAAAAATTGCTGTAAAGTTCTTAGCTGATAATCGGTGAATCGAGTACGATTTGCACGCCGCCCAGAGGCTGAATTTGATGTTGCAATACCTAAAAATAAAAATCTTTCTGATATAAATTAAAAAATTTAAATCAAATATATAAAATCTGGGGCGAAGTGGAACTGGGACGGTTTCAGTTGAATTAATATCATCACAACGATCGGATTCTATTTCCAGCCGTATTAGCAATCGATCTGTATGTCTATCACCAAATGATTCCTACCAAAATTTGTATTGTCCGATAAGCCATAACAGAAGGGAGTTTAGCCAGAAAATGGTAACCATTATTCAACAAAAAAACCTGGTATTAGGGAAGAAATAGTTTTATCATCGTGAAGAAATGCAGCAAATGGATTCGACAGGATCGGTGACGTTCGCAGTGAACTAAATTGTGATGAATTCGCTGACAGCGGTAAATTATTACTGTTTGTTGCATTATCCATTTTTAAATTTGTTGCCGTTGGCGTTGCCGATTTAATTTCCTCATTTTTCGTTGATGCCTGTAATTATTTAATTCATTGAATTTTTTTGGTTATTCATAAAATAACAGAAATTAAATAAATAAAATTGTTTTAAAATTTTTATATATTTTTTTAAAAAAATTTTCTCATTGATTTACTTACTACTTTTGTTTGTCAAATCAACGAAAAATAAGCGTAAATCACTCTAATAAAATATTTCTAAATATAAAAATTTTTCTTTTTTTTAGTAATCAACGAAATGGCATCAGCTAACAATTTCAATCATTTATCACTTTTTATCTTTATTTCTTTATCATATTTAATCAAATAAATTTTCGTGGCTAAATAAACAATTTCTTGAATTTCCTTTTTAAAAATTTGAATATTTTGCCAAATTGATCGATTAGGAATAACAAAAAAAAAATTTAATTTACTGCATATGCTCATAATTCCCTAAAAATTGGTGTGTCTGCTATAAGCCCGCTTATAAAGCAATTACTAAATGATTCTATGATGAAAGGGTTCGATTATATTCGGTTGATATTTTTTCAATTTTTTAATTAATTAAGGAACCTTTAATGGAAAAATCCTGAAGAAAATTAATGAACAGCAGTAAGCATTTAAAAAATAAAGAAATGACGAAAAAGAACGGAATAAATTTTAAAAAAAAATATAAGGAATAGAATTAATTAATGCGTACTTCGACAGCTTTAATGGACGTTATTTTAGCTTCACCAGTCTTCTCATAAGTATCTAAATCAATACTCATTTGAGGAGGAATGCTAAAATTGTAAGGAGAATCTTTATCGCGTTGCCTTTCCTGCAAAAAAATTCCATTTAATTTCATTTCAAAAATATTATTTTATAAAAAAATATTAAATATCCACCTTATAACATTATTTTAAATTATTGCTCTAATTTCGGAGTGCCAGTGCTGGAGTAGGAGTAAAAAATCTGGATGACGCTGGCTACTCATCCGGTACCTCTATAAGCGCCTGGCAAATTTTATTTGGTCCGACAATGCTACTGAGTAATCCTAAGTAGAAATGGTGATCCACGAAAAGAAAACGAGAATTTAGTTATAATAAGCAAATAATTATAAGAGACCTTAAATAAAGTATTTCGAAACCAATGTTTAATGACTTTTTCAGGCAATTGTGCCTTTATAGACATTTCTTTTATTTGTTGTTCACTTGGTGAATTATTTATATCGAAATATTGGCGAAGAATTTTTAGTTGTTCATCGGTAATTCTAGTACGAGCGCGTTTGGCTGGTGAATTACATGGAAGAACTTAAATAACTTCACTTTATTGAGTTCTTTTGCGAAGGAATGGAAATATATATTTACTCGCCAAATATATTATCATAATGCTAAAATAATGCTAAAATATGATAACAAATGATAATGGATGGCAATGATTGATAATTGTTAAATTTTTTACTAAATTTCGAAGAAATTTTTTAGCAAAAATAAACGACATGAAAAATATTTTAAGAAATAAAAAAATGAACCATGCGAAAGATTTGCAGAATTTTGTTGAGCAGCAAAGAGAGGATTTGTGAAGAAGTCGGGATTTATAACAGGCATGAATGGATTAGCAATAAATGGGAAGCCTAACATTCCCATCATTGCAATTTGACTATTCAAATCTGGATTATCCTTTGAAGTCGAAGGTCGCGGTGTTGAACCCGCCGATATCGAGCGCGTCTCTTCTTTCAGTTTTTTCGCCTAAAATTATTTCTTTAAATTCTAAGAAGAAAGTTATCCAAAATATCTTATAAAATCATTGAAATGAACCTCAGGTCTGAATTTTTCATGAGAACTTTTTACTGAAGATTCATCATCATCCGTCCTCGATTCTTGTCGAGATCGCTTTCTTGACGCCTCACATTCTTCATTCATATTTTCTTTTTCATCAATATTATCCAGTGCTTTACGTAATTTTACGGCAAATTTCTCAACTTCATCCGCAAGCATTCCACTTTTATGCATCTTAAATCGTTCACTTTTATTAAACAAATAAATATAGGTGTAAAACTTCTACAACATATTATCATTGAAAAATAATTATGGTTCAGTATAAACCACAAGCTAAATAACAAATGTGATAGCTTATTTCGCTCAATTCCTTCCAGCATGCAGATTCAAATCCTTTCGTAGTTCCTTTATATTTACTGATCTTAAATCCAGTTTATCTTTTAATCGCATCCTCTGTTATTAATATTAATGATATTAGTTAATTAGTATTATTAATATTAATAATTTGTTTAATTTATAATAATAAATACCATTATTACTTCAATGATATTCCTATCACTATTAATCCATAAGTGGCCTCTGTTTTAAATTATTTTAATACTTTTATACTTACTTATACTTTTACTTTTTAATACTTTTATACTTTAATACTTTTAATAATACTTTTTTTATTATATAAATTATTTTCGAATTATTTTATTGCCTATTCATGTATATCCAAAAAAAAGTATTTCGATATTTCGATATTTAAATCACCAAATTCATATGATTTCTAAAATAAACCGACTGTATGACTATATAACTTTGACCTTTCAATGATTCAATGACCTTTCTTAAAAATATAAGGACTTCCTCATTCTAAACTAATAATCTGGTCAAGTCGAAGATAGCGACAGTTATAATAGGCTACTAAGTAAATAATAGGTTAACACATTAAAATATAAATTTGATACGATAATATATAATCATAATATATTATCAGTAATGTAATATATTATCATAATATATTTGACAAATTATTACAATTTATAAATATAAGTTAAAAAAACTAATTCTACCGAGTAAGTAAATTTATATATTAGTAAAAATGAAATTAAGATTTTTAACTGATAATAAATAATTAAAGAGGTGAAAATCGCAAAAATAATAGGCACTGAAATCAAATACCTAATTAAAAATTACCGATTATTTCTATTACCGATTGTTTTTTCTTATTTTTAAAAATATTTTTCGATGAAATTTTTTTTCAATGGAAGTTACTGAAAAACTTTAATTTTTCTTTTTAATAAAATATTTTCTATGAAAAACGAAAATAAATTTTTAAAAAAATGCCTTCGAAATTCGCGTCATTGCTTATTCTCTGATAAATCAAATAAAAATAATAAATAAAAATATTTTTAAACTTTTTTTACGAAAAATAAGAAATATAAAAATTAAAAAACATTGGTTTAATTCGAAAAAAGAATAAAAATGAATAAAAACAATTAAAATAAAAAGTGAAAAGTTTAATTTGATGAAATTTAAGTTATTAAAATTGTTTAAAAATTAATAAAATCAGTAAAATCGGAAGAGTCTCTTAGCAAATATTTATAACGATCTCTTCATGGTGATCTATTTAAAGAATTTAATGAGCAATAAAATAAGGATAAAATTTTCGATTATAATTCTTTGATTAACGACAAGCCAACATATAGATTCGATTCTTATCATTATAGTAAATCTTAAACCTTAAACCTTAACATCTAAAGTAACGCTCACGAATTGACTTAAGGACCCATTTACATCCATTTACCCACTTATTTATACATCCAAATGATTTTCTAACAAAAGAATCTAATCCCGGCAGTCAGTAGACCAAGCCAAAACTAGAAATAACCAGTACCATAACCAGTATAGCCAGCCAAATCAGAAATAATGAATGCTGTTCGAAAATAAGAAGAAAAGTGAATAAACTAAAATTAACAGAAATTTCTATAAAACTACTTATTTATTTTATTTTGAAAATAGAAAAAAAGTGGTGAAAATTAATTTCAAAAAAATTTAGCTATTGGTTATTATCGAAAAAACGAAAAAAAAGTGATAAAATCAAAGCACATCAACAATAATACCTCTTCATAATGAGCTTTGAGTACCCATATACTACTAAAACTTTTATTACATTTTGAACATTCAGCACGACAAAGCTCGGGAACTGCATCATCGGGCAACGAATCAAGCTTTCTTTTGCGCTGTTCTGTATATTCATTGTATTGCATAACAACATCAAAACCTGGAAAGTCTGTGATTGAAGTCAGTACCGCTAGTGAAATAGCGAGGAATGAATGAATAATATAAGATTAATGATAAAAATTATTAAAGATAAAAAATTTACTTAATTTATGAAAAAACTGACCAAATAAATTAAATCAATAAACATTATATATTAATTGTGCTACACTGGGTAAACTTCTTCCTCGTACAGCGGAGGAAATTGACGCAAATCTATTAACTCTTTCAGTGATAAAATCGAGCAGGCAGAATCAAAATTAAAGCTCCAGAAATTTTAAAATCAGACGATATAAAGAGTAGTAGAAAAAGAATAATCTCTATTAACGTCAGATATGGCGTTGACTAAGGATCATCCTTAATATAAGTGAAGCTAATCTAATCACTAAATGGTAAATGGTACACGCTGATTTTCTTTTGTATTAAAAACGTTCACCATTCCAGGTTGTTTCGTTTTTTTGTTTGAACCAAAATTTTTTTGTCTGAGCAAGAATAATTTGACAGTGGGAATGCAGGTGGGATATTATCAACACTGGGATTTTTGAAAGACTGGTTCACTTCTTGTCGGTAATAATATCGGCTCTCCAAAGTGAAAGGAGTGCTATGCTCAGCATAACTGAATATGACTGAATAGCTTAAGTATGATAAAATATGATCAAATATAATGAAACTCAACTAACCATAATTCTCAAGCATTTTTCTAAAAGCAATTCCAGACCGAGGCGTTCGTTCATCCTCCAGACATAACTGTGGTTCATCGCCTTCAAAATATAAATAAAATAAGGGTCAGTTTGCTGATAAAGGTTGTTGTCTAGAAAAACTACCATATAAACAACTTGATATGAAAAAAATTTATCTAACCGAATGTATTAAGTGTTGTTAATGAATTAGTGTTTGGGAAAACATTTGCTAAATTAGCAAAAGCATTTGACTGTTGATTAATAATTGAATTCGTTGTCGATGTTGTTAATTGGCCAACAGATGTCATTGATAAGAATTGTGCCATATTCAAAATATTTATCATTGCAAGCGCAGATTGTTGTTGTTGTTCATTTCCATCCTCAAATTATATTTAACATATTTTTTGTAATTGTTTTTCTAAGATTTTCTATTTCTCATCATTTTTGGTTACTCCGCTGGCTTATTGGACTAGATATGCCAGCGAGATACTAGGGGATTTGTAAAAGATAGGTTTATACTTTTTATACTCTTGTCGAGAATAAAACCCCAGCGCAGGCGCTTTGAAATTAAAGTAGTAACCTACCCATTTTGCTCCTATTTTTCATAATTACATTTAAATATTACAGAATGGTCAAATAAAGAATTCACTAAAATTTTATAACTAATAAATTCGATCGTAAAATAATATAAATAATACAAAAAATAATATTTATTTACAAATAAACTAATTTAAATAATTTAACATATTATCACTGTTTATTTATCATTTATTACTCAGTTAATTCGTTAAAAAATGCAGTTTTTTCTCATTATCATAAAATTTCATCATTAAATTTCTTTCATTTTCATCTTGATCTTGCTATTTTTTTCTTTCATTTATAGATTTATTTTGTTTATTTCTCAAATCTAAAATATTTAGCAAATGCAACAATCAGCGATTATTTCTAAGTAATCACTCCCTCCCCTCGCCTTTTAAACCAATCTTCCCCCTTCAAAAAAATATTTATCAAATAATTTAATTTTTTAATTAATTAAATAAACAATTTATTTGAATTAAATAAATTAAATAATTTAATTATTTAGTCCTTTCAACAAGAATAGGTGAAAAAATTATAAACAATATTAGGCAAAATTTCTCAGAATTGAGCAACAAAGAAATATAGCAAATGTATGGATAAATCAATTCGCACATTTTTACAAAGAACTTAAGGTACAATAAGTAGCAATAAGTAATAATAAGCAACGGTAAGTGGTAATAAGAGTAATGAATAATTTTTTAAAATTAAATCATGAAAATTAAAAAAATTCCTTTTTTTTGAATTAATCTAATCACTGATAATGATAATGAAAAGATGAATGTATCATGAAAAACTAAAGATAATCAGTGGGAAAATGAGTAATTATCAAACGATAACCTGATTATCGAGCTGATTATCATCACGATTTAGCATATCAGCAATAGTTTTTTGTATTGGACCACCAGGTTGTTCAAGAATTGGTTTTAATGGATCAATTTCACCTTGCGCAACTAATTCAGTTAATTTTGATAAACGAGATTGATGTGCCACAGATCTTCAAATACTTCTTTCATAGATGAAATAGAAATTTTCGTAATAAAATAAAGAAAAATTAAAATTTTTAAATTAACCATGAAAAGAAAAATTCTATTGAGCGTGATTTTGCCAAGAAGTTGTTTGATAAAAAAATGTACAAGTGAAGCGCCATCATTAACAAAATTTTAAAAAGATTTTTAAGATTTACTCCCGTCAAGGAATAGAACCCCAGTATCGACGCTTCAAAATTCGATCAACAACCCACTGAGCCAAATGAAAAGACAAAAAAAATCACCTAATATGAATATCTAATGTCGATCCTTGTCCATAACCATGTTTACAAATGTTACATTTAAATGGTTTTCCTTGTGAATAATTATTATTACTAGATGATAACGATAATGATGGTTGTTGTTGTTGGATAGCATTTGATGTCGATGCTTGTAATGCCGCTATAACCTGTTTTCAAAAATTTTATATTTAAATTACGTAAATTTTAAAAAATTTAATAAGCAAATTAAAAGTTTCACTATTTATTAAATTAATATTAATGTTAATTATAATAAATTATTAGAATAAATGAAAATAACGTTAACCAATAATCAATAAAATGAAAAATAATATAATGAGAATCGAGAAACGATATTCTCATGATGAATATTATTATTATGATGATGATCAAACCCAAAAAAAGGGGCAAAATACTATAAATTTCTTTTATTATACCGTATATTTTTATTAAGAAGTACAGTAACAAATTAATTAGTAACTGTCTGATGAAATAATGGTGATAATGATATCAATGACAACAATAATGATAATGATGTATTTTTCAAATAAATTTTACAATTTAATTAATAAAAATTTATTTTCTTGAATTAATTTTAAATGAAAATTAATTCAAGAAAATATTTTTTATGAATATTGAATATGAAAAATGAATATTTTTTATGATTTCTAACATTTTTAACTTAAGAAATTATAGAAGCGAATTTTAAAAATGAAACTGAAATGAATTTTTTGTGAGCAGATACCTATGGAAAAATGCAATAAGCAAAGGAATCAAAGTGGTTAGCGCTCAGTATTTCTGGTTTTAGCTGAATTGATGGCTATAAATTCGCTACAAATTCTATGAGAAATCTTTACGAAGAAGAATTACTTAAAGATGAAATATAGGTAAGCGTATAGGTAGCGTCTTCCGTATTTCATGAGATTTATTGTTAACGATGCAGAAATCGAACAAATAATATTGCAGACAATAAATAATCTTAAGTAACAACTAAACTCTTCGGCTATTTCTGTCTTCCATAATGAAAAGAAGATAAAAATGCAACTTTTTTTCCTCTTTAAGAGCTATTCCTCACTATTTCTGATTAGGCTGGCTTGTCGGTCCAAATTGTATCAGACAGTGGGGAAGTACAGGTAAGTCGCCTGGATTTTTAAAAAGCCAGCTTATCTACCTGGAGTAGAACTGCAATGCCGACGCTCCGAAGCGAGATCAACAATCCACTGATCCAACTCTATTTCCCACCATCCTTAGTTATTATTTATCTCATTATAAATTTAATAAAAATTAAGACCGAATTATGAAATTATAAAAGTATACTTGGGCATTCGAATGAAAATTATTTGGTTGTTGTTCGAGAATTTTTTTAGCTTGATGAAGATGATTCACAGAATTATAATGAATTAAAAGTGTATGTTTTTGTTCGAAACTTTCTTTACATAAATCACATTTATATGGCCTGAAATTTTTTGAAAAATTTTTATATTTATAATTATCTAATTAATTTTCAGATTTTTGATAAAATTGATAAGTAAATTCCAATTAATTTACTATCTTTCTAAAAATTCTTTTTTACTTTTTCGAATGTAAAATAATTTCTTTTTCTTTTCGTCATTCATTCATCTATTTTCTCATTTAATTAATTGATTGATTAATTAAACAATTTTAAAATTTTTATTAATGAAATAAATTAAAACTCGATTTCAACGAAAATTGTATGAACTTTTACCTTCAATCCACTAAATTTAACTTTTATTTATAATTTTTTTATATTTTATATTTCTTTCATTTTAAGTAAAAGGAGAATATATCTATGTAATTTAAGTGACTTGATTTTGTTCTCTTATGCTTTAATTTATTTTTATAAAAATTATCAAGAAGTTTCCATGAAAAAAGGGAAAAAGAAAATATTATGCCAAATATCAATAATAATAAGTAATAAAAAGTAAAAAAAATTTTTTAATCAATTTTTATTGTAAAATGAAAGAAACTTTGATGAAATTCAAAGCTAGTATAATATAAAAAGTGATTAACATGCTTCTCATAATTGTTGTCATATTTTAATAAATTAATTATAATTCATGGGAAAATTAATTGGAACAATGCCCGAAGCGATTTTTATTGATTTTTTAAAGAAATAAAAGTGGGTGAAAGGATGGAACGAATAAAATAAAAATGAAAAAGGGATAAGGAAAGGGAAAAAGGAAGGGAGAAGGGGGTAGGGGAGGGTATGAATGATAATTGATAAATAAATAGATGAGATTAAATCAATCGTTTGTTACCTTAATGGATCACTGAATGAAGAAGTTGTTGTAGCATTATCAATAAAATCAAAAGCATCGTCGTCATTATCGTTTTCTTCGTTATCACAACTTTGCGAACTTGTGCTTGGCAAATTTATATTTAATTTGCCTGCAAAATTACAAAAAAAGGTAAAAATTTAAAAAAATTTATTTTCTCTTATACGATAAATTTAATGAATATTTCCTTACTAAAAATTTATTTTTTTAATAAAATTGATTAAAAATCATACAAATTAAAATTAAAATTAGAAATTTAAAAATACAAAAGAAGAAAAGTTTTAAGATATGAAAAATACCGAAAATTAAAGAATTAAATAAAATTGGAATTTAAAAATTTTGAGACATTTTTTTTGTGGAGAACATTTAAATTTCTGGATAAAGATTTTTCAAATAAAAGAATATTCGTTGTGAATATTTACACTTAAAAATGTTGTCATTGCAAAACTAAAACAATTTATAATAAAAATCTCTAAGGAATTAAAGCAATTACATAGCAAATCAAGTATTTGTCAATAAAAAATGCCTTTAAGGCCACAAATTATTCTTTCAAAAATTTCATTTTTCTAAAAATTTTCCGAAAAAAAATTTTCTCTATATCAAATATCGATTTATTTTTTGATTATTTTCCATTAAAAAAAAATCTTTATTAAAAACTGTATTTTTTAAAAATTGTATATATATATATATATATATTATGAATTTGCAAATAGCAAACGAAATAAAGAAATAAATCATTAATGATCAAATGAACAAAAGAAGATTAATTAATGTATATAAAAAAGTAGTTATTTGCCGTCTAATTAATTACTAAAAGCCAATAAAAAACCTATAGAATTAATTTATTACTGAATATCAATTAAATATCGTAGGTTAATTGAAAAAGGTCAAGCAAAGTGGCACGATAAATGCCCCTTTGAACGTTTCACGTTAAAACACGATAAATAATTTATTACTACCAATCAATTAGCTCATGAAATCACCTAACAAACTGCCCACCATTTCGTCAAATAACTAACATAGAAAAATTAACACCCCGTCAAATAAATGTTTAAATATAGCGTTACGACAGCGTAAAAAAATAGCTGAATTTGTTTATTTGTACGCCATACAGTTACTGCGAGTTAAGCACCTCGTCAAACAACTCGCCATACAACCCGCCAAATACCGCTATTAAAATTTGTTAAAATAGGAGAACAATTAGCGAAATTATTGAAAATAAATCATTAGACGAATTAAAAGAATAAAAAATAATTCAAAAAGTAATTTTTTGAACGACTTTATAAAATAAAACGAGAAATCTTAAATTTCTCAAAAATAAACGATTTAAAATTTTTTAAATTGATTTATTTAATTTAAAAATTTTGTTCTTAAAAATTTTATTAATCAAATTTATCAAATTAAATTTTATTAATTAATTAAAAATAAAATTTATTTAAAAATAGATTTATATAAATCAATTTAGTGATAAAATAAATGTAATTTAACAATTATAAAATTAAAGAGAATTTTCTTTTGAGTTTTTAAATTATTAAAATTTTTCGAAAAAAAAGAAAAATCATCATTTTTTATATGCGCAAATTTTTTGCAAATTTTGATTTTCACAAAATTTTCAATTTTTTTTTTGATTTAATATATATAAAGAATGAATAATATTATTATAAATAAAAAACAAATAACAAATAAAAAAAGTTATTACAATGATCATTGTTGATATGTTTGTGTAATTGTTGAAGAGAATGAAAATTTTGATGACACTGTGAGCAACGTTGAATTGTACGAAATGCATGACATAATAAATGGCATGCAAGTCGTTCTTCATTATGAAATGCTAATGAACAATGTTTACATCGGTATTGATAAATTTCGCTTGTTGTTGCTGTTGTTGAACTGAAATTTTTTTTTCAATTTATTTAATGAATTTTATTTAATAAATATTTAATGAGTAGATAAATTAGCAATGTGATCATTGTAATTGTATTAAAATTCACAAAAAATTTATTATTTTAATTTTTATTTTGTTTAATATATTTATTATTCTACTTATTTTACTTAATATATTAATATATATTCTTTTTCTTAAAATATAAATAATTATTTTAATATATTTAATTTATTTTTGCGAAAATTTGGAACTTTATTAATTAAACACTTATTATTAATTTTATTAATTTTGGCTCAAATCTAAACAATTAATCCAAAATAAATATGGCTAAATTACATAAATAAATGAATTTAAATAAATAAATTGTCAACAATTAGATAATTTTATTTACTATTATGTTTTATGAATCAAATCAAAAGATATTCACACAAATCAAGGTTTTATTATAATTTATTAAAAATTTTAAAAATTTGCATGAATTAACAATAAATATTAATTGTTAGATTTTTATCAATAATATTTGCAAATGGATCTACAATAATAATGTTAATAAATAGCATTAAGTAATATACAATCAAAATTAAATGTTCAAGCAAGTCAACGTTCTATTATTATGAATAAATTTAATATTAATGATAAATTTAAAATTTGAAAAAAAAAGCGAACTTTTTGTAAATGAGAATCATTAAATGAGAATCAATATGAAATTAAGAAATTTATCTATTTATTTAAAATATGTAATTATGTAAATTATTCGATTATTATCGAGCCGGGTGGTCAAATTATTATGGGAAAATCATTGTAAAACTTTTCTTTTACAAAAGCTTTTATGTATTACGAATTAATTTCATCAATTCAATTTATTATTATTAGTATTATTATGAATAAAATTTATTTCATCCTTTTTAATATATATAAAAAATACCATTAAAAAAAATAAAAATTCTTTACGTTTTCTATTTTCCAATTACACAAATCAAAAATTTATTTATTATTTCTAATATTATATAATAAATTTAATTTAAATTTATTCTTATTTTTAATCCTAATTTTTAATCCTAATTTTTCTTAGTAAATATAATTTCAAAGTTCACTAAAGATTCGTGTCTTTCTTATAAAAAAACTCCCATGAGCCATATTCGTTATGTTTCCTTCTCATTGAATTATATGTATATTGCAAATTGCAAATATTGATCTAATAAATAAATATTTTCTTAAATTATATAATTCAATTCAATTCAATTGAAATCAATAATAAATTTTTATTTTTATAATAAAAAACATGCAACGAATTATAATAATTTAAAAAATATTTATATTTGGAAAATTATTTGATTCCATCCATATACTGTACACCTTACACAAATCATTGGTAAAATGAAAAATAAGAAAGTTGAAAATTATTTTATTATTTTAAAATTTAAAAAAATAGACAAGTAAACGAATTATCAGAAAAAACGAACGGATTATCAGAAGTTGAATCTGGAGGCATTGAACTTGATGATGGAGCAGCAACAAGAAGTAATCGTTCGATTGCTTCATTAGCAATTTTATGATCCTATTAAAATAAATTTTATTTATATAATAAAATAATTTAAATATTTATAAATTTCTTTTTATTTCAAATTTCACATTTTTTCACATTTTTAATATTTTTCATTTTAAATGCTGTTGTTACAATTTTTATATTTCATATTTATTATTATTATCAATTTCATATTTCACATTTTCTTATTATTATTGTTATTACTATTTGATGTTGCTAATTCAAACTAAGGTTATTATTAAAAATTATTAAATTATTTTATTATTAAAAATAAAAAAGTAAAAACAATGAATAAAGCAGAATAATAACTTTAGTAAAAATAAAAATATTCCTTTTAATCAAAAGAAAAGCAAAAAAGAGACAAGTCTGCTAAATTTCTAAAGAAATATTATAAATTTTAATAATTTATAATTTAAATGATCATCTTTGGTTATATTTGGTTCAATTAAACGTCAATAATTTTTGTCCTTTTTTAAAGAGAATAAAATAAAATCCGTTTGTCTGCTTAGGCACTTGTCCTTCCTTATTTCCTATCCTTTTGTAATTCTGGCAAAAAATGTTTTTACATAGAAATTTTTTTATTGAATGAATTTTTCCGAAATAAAATAGCAAAAAAAGTCTATAATAATATTAATTGATAATAATAGTGATAGTAATAATATCAATAATAACAAATAATAATACCCATTGACTTTTACTACAAATTTGGTCCAAATTTCTACCTCAGAGACAAAAGCACTTTGCTAAGCAATCACATTGAACAACTGAATTAGTACAAACTATTTCTTTTCAAAACATAATAAACATAATTAAACCATTTAATTTTTTTTTTTTTAAGAGCTCTCACCATTACTGGTTAAACTCGCTCCACTGGCTTCTCGCATTAGGCAATATTGGGCCATTTAATTAACAAAAATTAATAGAATTAATAAAAATCATTTAACCCAATATATTAAAATTTCGATCTTACTATATGGTTCTGAGACATGGCCAATGAGAGTAGAGAATATTAAGAAGTTATCTGCCTTTGACCACTCTTATCTAAGGTATATATTACGGATCCGTCGAGCGGATAAGATATCACAGGATCGCATCCACCTTCGTTCAAATACCACTTCTTATCACAGAGCGCCGCCTTCGCTGGTTAGGGCACATTCTCCGTCGTCCACCAAAGGAGTTGACGCATATTTCGTTATTTGCTAAACTGTGTGACAGTTGGCGTCAAAAGCGAGGTGGGCCAATCAAGACCTGGACTGATACGGTGAGAAAAGATTTTGAACGTACAGGTGGACCAGCAATATATGGACTTAGACGATGGAAAAAAGAATGGCTTCCATTACTATGGCATCAGACCGCGCCGCTTGGAAGCGTCATACCTTTGCAGCCGTTGGAGCCACCAGCCTAACCAGTAATGGTGAGAGCTGTTAGAAGAAGAAGAAGTATATTAAAATTAAATTAAAATTAAAATTAAAAATACATTTATCGCTATTCATCAAATGTTATTTTATTATTTTCTTATTTCACCATCTACTTAGCTGGAGAGAGAATAGCCGATCGCCTGCAGCCTCAGTGTACAAACCCTACCTCCTACAAGAATAAGAATATCTTTACTAAATCATCAAAATGACCAACCACACGATCCACTTCTATCGATAAGCGACTTTATGGCGAAAATTTTTTCATAATTCTAACAGCTAATGGAGCGAGCCTAACCGAAAACTATTAGTTCTAACCATTTTACTTAATTATTATTCCCTTAATTATTATTAGTGGTTTTCATTTTTCCCACCATTGCATTAATAAGCAGTTTTAATTATTTTTTTTATGCTATTTCACTAACTTTCAATTGATTTAAATGAAATTTGTTTGAGTCCGAAAAAAGTTCGAAATTAAACAAGACTTGATAAATTTACAACTAATAAAAAAAATTATATTTATTATATCTATTATATGTATCATTTTCTATCATTTTTAATGTTATTATCGTATCATTATTATTACTAATATTGTTACTATTTACTATTTATCTATTATATTTTTAATAATTATTTTACGCTTTAACTTACAATAATAATAAAAACATTAATGATAATGATAACAGTAATAATGATAATATTTTTATTTACTTATTTGTGGAAGTTTTTAAAAAAATATTTTAGAGAATTCATATCGTTTCTCTATCTCTTTTTCCATAAAATGCAATTAATTACAATTTAAAAAAAATTAACACGATTCGAGTGATAAATGTTTTCTTAAAAATTTTTAAATTTATTCGATAAATTTATTAAATTATATTAGTTTTAATAAGAAATTTAAAAATTTATAATTTATAATTTAATTTGTAATTTATAATTTAAATTTATAATTTATAGTTTAAAAAATAGGGATATTATAGTAACAATATTAATAATAATAATGATACGATAATAATATTAAAAATGATAAGAAAAAAAATTAATTTTGAAAGAATAAATTGAATATAAAAAAGGCGAAAAGAATCAGGTTTTTTTCTGTGGGAATACGAAGAAATATAATTAATTAGTTCCACACATATAGAGTTTTAATTAGTTT